TTTTTAATTGTGTCTTTTGAGAGCAAAAGTTTTTGATTTATCTAACTTACCCATTTTTTTCATTTGTGGTTTATGCCTTTTGTGTTCTAAGAACTCTGCCAAATACAAGCTCCCAGAGGTTTTCATTTTTACACTGAGATGCATGCTCCATTGAGTTATAGTCCGTGCGCAAGAGGAGATTTCTGTATCATCCATACAGATGACCCACTGTTTCAGTACCACACCACTTACTGAATACACTCGCTGACATTGAATTATCCTGTCACCTTGGCAAAAATCAACTGTCTCAATATTCTTGGATTATTCCTGAACTTTTGCCTATTTACATTTCAATCCTTAACATTAATACACTGTCTTGGTTCATGCAGTTTATAGTGTGTCTGGGAATCAGTCAACAACTTAACTGACTCAGTTTCAAAACAGCTGACCTAGGTCCTTTTCACTTCTATAGGAATTTTAGAATCAGTTTGTTGATTACTACTAAAAAAAAAAAAAAAAGAGTCTGCAAGGACTCTAGTATTACATTGACATGGAATAATTTTTATCAAACTGACATCTCAACAATATGGAGTCTTCCAATCCATGAACACAGCATACCTCTCCACTTATTTGTATTAGGTTATCCTTAATTTGTCTCAGCAATGTTTTGTAGTTTTTGGTATACAGATCTCGCACAGTAGCATCAAAAAATATCAAATAGATATGTAAGTGCTAGTCCTTCCCATGGCTCCTTGCTAGTATACAAAAACCCACTTGAGTCCTATGGACCTGTTAGACTCGCTTATTAGTTCCCCTAGCTTTTTACAGACTCCTTGGGAATTTTCTCAAAGATAGCTACATTATTGGGCCTCTCCTGGTGGCGCAGTGGTTGAGCACTAGGCTGCGAGGCTGCCCATAGCCTCTGCAGCGCCGGTTCATTCCCTGGCCGCCGGCGAGGGTCCCACAAAAAAAAAAAAAAAAAAAAAAAAGATGGCTACATTATCTTAAAATATAGTATTCTTCCTTCCCAGTGTGGATAACTTTTATTTTCTTATTTATTGTACAACAGGACCTCCAGCACTATGTGGACCATGCTGGTGAGCTGAGAGCTTCTAATTATGAATGGGTGTTGAATTTTAACAAATGCTTTTTCTGCCTCTATTGAGGTGATGTTTTTTCCCTTTATTCTGTTAAAGTAGTTAATTCCATTTATTCACTTCCTGAAATCAAGCATCCCTGCGCTCCTGAGAGGAATTCACTTCCACTCCAGTTGTTATTCTTTCTTCACTGCCACAGGCATCCTGCCTAGGTTGACACAGATCGCTCAAAGGGTGCCTCCTGGTGTCCACCTTACTCCAACTTGCAAATAAGGATGTGCAAATACCAGACTCGCCCATTCTCCCCACAATACCATTATTGGCCATGAGTACCCAAAGTCCCCACACCAGCCCATGCCTTACATCCCTGGCACGACCTTCCCCCTCCCCCCCAACCCGGGGACTCATGAAGTCATGAAGCCCCCCCTGCCTGCAATTTGCAAGCACCCATGTGCTGGAGACAAGGAGTCAGGCAATATCAAGAGTGGACAAGCTTGCCGGGCAGAGAAGGAAACTTGGCCCTAAAGAGCTTCCCTATAGGTTTACACACGTTGACCCACCCAGGCAACTTGCCCACCACATTCTCCTAATATCTCTGGAATCCTCAGGAGACAAGAAACCCCAAAACTGGAAGAGGGTGTACACTACCACACCATGTGATTCTTCGGGCATTTTGACCTCTCCAGATATTAGACCAGACCTCTACTCCTACCCTTTGCTAGATCACAGATACCTCTGAGAATTGGAGAAGTCACAGTCCCTTCACTCATGCAGAGAATATTTGGGCTAAAATATCAAAAGCTCAAAGACTCTAGGGATTTGAGGATGATCAAAAATGGTAGGTATGGGAGAGCTGGCCACCCAAAGGCAGACATTCCTCATAACCCTTTCTCAGCCAAACACTGGTTTTAGACAAGGAAGCACTTGGTGGAACAAACAGCAATGGGCAAAGAAGAACTGTGAGCAGCATGCCTAAAACCAGAAATCCAGTGGACCCTGGTGCAGCACCACAGAACCCAGCAGCTCCCAAGGTCATGGGAGCAAAGCTACCAAGGAGGCGTGGGTGCCACCTAGTGGCAGCAGCTCTTGGAAACCCAGGAGACTAGGGACACAGGTCAGATCCTGGGTCATGACATACCCCACAGTCCCAAGATTATGGCAATTTCAAGTCCACCAAACCAGGCCAAAACATCCTTCCTTTGAACTTCAGCTTCCAAGGCGTCTATTAGACTTCAACTTCACTTGAGTCAAACCTGGCTGATCAAGCTTCAGAGGAGAGGGGTGACTGAATGAATGTGCAAAACTATCTACGTATATCCACTCAAAAAAGTGCATTTTCATGGAAGGAAAGTCGATTTCATCAGACTCTCAGTGACCTCCATGACCCCATGGTAAAAAACCAATATTCTACAAGTCCTTCCAATTTACAGATGTGAAAACTGAAGCATGAAAGAAACCCCACAATAGGCCAGGCTGGGGCCAGTACAAAGTCTTGCCCTAGCTGAACAGAGTCTGAGACAGCCCCATACTCACACAGGTTGCACTGTCACCAAAGTTGATAAAGGGTATCCGTTCTAGACTGTTCTGGCAGACTCCAACCTCCACCTCCCAGACAGCTGCTCTCTGGCAGCATCACCTTCAGAGGCTTCTTGTCTACCAACTTCCACCTCCCATTTCTCTGTCTCACACCCTCCTACAGACCCCTACCTCATTCCTGTGTCCTACATTCCTTTGCTCATCTCCCATCATCCTGCAATTTCATGAAGCAGATTTCACCAAGTTACCCTCCCTGCTCAGAAATCGCTAATATACCCAAAATCTGGCCAAAAAAGATAGACAAGTTCCTCACAGTAGTCAAGGTCATGCAAAATTACAAGTGTAACTCTTGGAGAGGATACCTACTGACAGGCCACACAGGACACATGTACCTATTAAGTGGGGCCTGAGCCCTAAAGTGAAGGCCTACCCAAATGCTCAAGTAGGGCTGATGAAGAGCTGAGATTTCCAAGGTGCCCCCAGAAGTGGTCCAGACACAGCAGACCCCAAGCACATGAAAGAAAATCTGCCCTTGTAAAGCAGCCCCTCACCAAGGGCACCCAGGAGACCAAGGTGACCAGGATGCTTTACTTGCCTCTCTAGAAGTCAGCCTCTGGCTATTCAGAAAGGACACCACCAGTTTCAAGGCACTTCTTCAGAGGACAACCAAATGTAATTCCCACAAGCCTGAGGAAAGCAGCGTATTCCTTCCCAGAGCAAGAAAATGGGCCCAGGTCATGTGGCAGCCAGAAGACGGTTGTACAGGTCAGTGGGAAAGCAGACAAGGCGACCACCACTGCTGTCCCATTCATTTTCCCACCACAAGGCCCTCCCTACCAATCCTAAGCTGGTAGAGAACACAGGCAGGTTCCCCCACCTGCCAGCCCTCTGGACACCTGCTTCCTGCCCCTCACTCGGGATCTGGGATTAAGAGGCAGTTACATGAACACACACACACAAGCAACAGACCACCTGAGATCCAAAGGCAGGTGCCCCAGTTGGCTGACAGTCACCTGCAAAACTTTGTTTGCTCACAAACTGGCTGTGCTTATGGTATGGTCCTCAAATTTTCCAGGACACCAGAGTAGGGTCAAGGGGCAGGTGCTGGCCTGACTGATGCTGCATGCCTTGTGCACATGCTGGGCACACTAACACCCCAGCAGGCTAATCTGATCAACATCCACGGCCATCTCATCTCCCACAGAAGAAAGAAGTCACAGAGGTTTCTTTTCTGATGAGTATCTCCCTGGGAGCAAGAGAGAGGTTTTCCGGTTAGTTAATAAGCGCAGAGAACAGAAGGAAGCACAAAGTATTTAGGGCCCTGCTGCGGACAGCCCTACATGAATCTGGGTCCTGCAGGTGGAGTTCAAGAGGAAACAGCAGACTCTGTGACTCTGTGAGGCAGAAAGAAAATGAGGAGGCATTCTCAGGTAAAAGCCAACTGGAGTCCATAGCCGATCAGAACAGCCTAGGCCCCCAAACCAGCAATCGGAGGGTAATTACAGGACCACTCTTACTGAAGGGTCTCAACCACAGCCTAGTTTCCAAGAGCAGCAGGAAAGAAAATAGTCTTAAAGTCACACAAGCAGCTATGACAAAGACCCCTTAAACATCTGGCCTCTCCAAGCTGCAAGGACTAATCTGCAATGATCAGTCTCCCAAACCCCAGGGAGGAATAATGGGGCACAACACAGGGAGGGTAGTTCATCAAAGCTGCTCGGTAAGTCAGTCTGTAGGGGTCTTAGGGAGTCTAGGGGGGTGAGGGGCAGACAATGGCAAAGCAAGGCTGGAAAAAGAGCAGTAGAAATCCCAGAGGACAAGCTGTGGAAGAGACAGGAGTGGTGGAGAGATGACTATGGTCTGCCCTTTACTTCAGAAAGCAAGATGGCCAGCCCAGCTCTCAGGCCTGCACTGGTGGCTATCCAGCAGCTCCACCAACAGACCAACTGAGAGGCTGCTATGGGGCCTAAATGGGTCCACAATTCTCTGTTACTGTGATCTCCTTTTTCACCCCAGAAACAGTTCGTCTCCACGCCCTACAGCCACCCAAAATGAATGTCACTCCCCTAAAGCAATTATTTCCTCAGAGTATATACAAGAGTCCTTTAGCAAAGCCCAACGATGTAGGGCAGTGAAATCCCTGCCATCACTTTGCTGCAAATGTTCCAACTTTAAATGAAGATGGTATTAAGACGTTGGCAGGGAGAGTGACATAGCTCCATTTCCCTCCCACTATGGAAGGACCACGCGAAAACTAAGCATCGTATGGTAAAGGCTTCCGGAGCCACTCCCGGCAGTCTCTGCTGGAGGACCCTGGGGAGGTAGGGCCCACTTTGCAAAAGTGAACTGCAGAAGATGAGACACATAGGCACAAGCACTCTTGCCTACCTGATGCTCAAGCCAGTGGTCTGGTCCAGTTTCTCCCAGCTCTGCAGCTTTGCCAGCAGCCTCTGGAACAAAGATAGATCATTAGACCACCAGGCCCTGTCATCTCTTGTCCAAGGACAACAGGGCCCTCCCGCTGTCCTTTCATACCAAGTCACCATCTAACTCCTCTCACTCACAGTGCAGTCACCCTAGACCAAATGCACCAGGTAGAACCAATAGTGACAAAAGGATGTTATGTCTCCCTGACCCCTTTCTCTCAGGTGAAATGCACAAAATCTCCCAGTGTGCTCCACAGCAGACAGGTCACATCCTGGTTGATGAAGTTAAACTGCATATATAATTCATTCCCTGTACCCTAGTTGCAGTAAAGATCCCAGCAGGGAAAGGAAGTGGGTAGGATGGGGAAGAAGAACAGAAGCTGGGCATTAGGACCACCAGGACTTGCTGCTCCTCATCTCCAGGTGCTCCCCAGAGTGTCCAGCCCTAGGGCGGAGGAAACCCCCCTCCAACACAGCAGCCCAGACGCATGGCCCCAGAGATCCAGGGACAGTCCTGAAGAATGGAAGGTGGTGCATCTCCACCCAGCACTACAAGAAGACACCTGCCCCTGTAGACCTCACATCTGCTCCACACTGACCTGTATTCCACAAAGCCCTGCAGTCCCAACTCCCCTTCTAGATTAAGGTAAGCAATGTGAGGACAAGGCCTCTACACCTTTGTCTGGCCCACATCATCTTGCCCCAGGGCTAGGCATAGTGCTATCCTCATGCATTCCGCCAGCTATTCCTGAGCCCATCTTGTGATTTTATCATTATTATAGACCATCTTAATGAATACTTATTACATGCCTAGCACTGCTTAAGCACGTCACTTTAATTCATCTAAGCTCACAACCCTAAGAGGCAGACACTGTTATTCCCCATTATACAGATGATAGAGAGGGTGAATAACTTGCCCAGGGTCACACAGCCAGCAGGCATCCCCAGCAAGATCTGAAACTACTCAGTGTGATTAAAGAGACAAAATACTAACCAAATTCAAATACACTATGTTCAAAGAAAACACTGCAAAGCCCAAGTTGCCTTTCAGGAAAGAGCCCAGCTAGGTCAACACACACAAAAGGAGCCCTGCTCTCACCCCACGTGCTCAGGTTGGCAGAAAAACTTCCTCTTGGGGCCTCCCTGGTGGCGCAGCAGTTGAGCGCTGGGTTGCGAAGCTGCCCGCAGCCTCTGCAGTGCCAGTTCAATCCCCGGCTGCTCCCCGGCCACCAGAGGAGGGTCCCACATGGCGCGCAGACCTCTCCTGCCGCCCGCTGCTCCCCTCAGCAGTGTACTTCGGTCCTTCTGCCTGCTCTGCTCCCCGCTCTGGCTCTGGTGAATTCTCTCACCCTCTCATGCTTCTGACTGTACCCACTGCTTGTATAAATAAATAAAAATAAATCTAATAAATAAATAAATAAATAAATCTTTTTAAAAAAAAAAAAATTCCTCTTGGGTTAAGCTTACTGCAGAGTCTCAGCCACGGAAAGGCTCGAAGACCTGCCCGGACCTTAATGGCACAGAGCTAACACCAGTTAACTCTCACACTCCCCACACACAGAAGCCGGGGCAGTGGAGACTGGTAGGCAGAGAGGGGCAGCCGTGCACAAGACAGATGCTGGGCCGGGAGCCGGGAGGAACCAATTCTGACCCCCACCATGCAAACTGAGCAAGAGAGAATGCTCTGAACCAGATATGCTCCAGTCTGCCAGAGACGACAGTAGGATGCTTTCTGCCTGATGACATCTCCCCACAAAGTATCACCTGTGAGTCCCAACAACAGACACAGGTGTCCCTTTACATCCGTGGGTGGGAACTATCCCAGGCGATTCGCTCTCTGACTCACCCTCTGTGTCGGTTTTCCTGTCACTAATGAGAGGCTGCCAACCACATAAATTTGCTATCTCACAGCTCTGGAGGTCGCAAATCCAGCAAGGATCTCATTCAGCAGACCTGGCTACTCTGAAGGTTCCAGGAGAGAATCTATTTCCTGGCCCTATCCAGATTCTAGAGCTGTCCACAGGTCATGGCTCAGCCCCTCCTCCCTCAGCAGTGCCACAATCCCATACACCCTGATGCCTCCTCCCTGCCTTGTACATGTAAGGACCATGGCCCCCCAGAACAGCCTGTCTGGATAATTAGGGGTCTCCCTACCACAAGCCAGCTGATCAGCACCCCTAATTCCCCTCTTCCACATCAGGTGGGAGAGCCAGTTCTGAGGATGAGGACTGCCATTTCCAGGTCACTGTTCTGCCAACATAGCCACAAAGAGGCTACCACAGTCCAGGCGAGAAGCTGGACTGAAACATGCAGGCCTTCGACACAGAGGTCAGCCCCACAGGAAAGAGCCATCTCAGCCTCACCTCCTTCTCCAGCTCCAGGTCAACCAGATTCTCCTGCATCTTCTCCTGACGCCCCAGCCTCCGCTGCAGGCCCTCAAGTTCCTCGCGGAGCAGCCCGTTGGTCTCTCGAGTCTCCCTGAAGGACCACAAACAGTCACTCAAACGGCCACACGTCCTGGGGCTGTGTCCAGGAGTGAGAAGTGAAGCCGCCTGCCCACCCCAGCTCACCGCAGGTAGGAGTTCTCCTCCCTCAGCTGCTTCAGCTCCCGCTCCATCTTGGGCAGCCGCACGAGCTCAGACTTCATGTTCCTCACAATGGCCGCATCCTGCTCCTGCAGGGACAGCTTCTGCTCCAAATCCTGCGTGAGGAAGGAAAGAGAAGAAAGTCACCGACGACAAAGTTCTCTGAGGCAAGTCACTCTCCCAGGTCCTCTGCGACCCTGGCCCCACATGCCCTCTTCCAGGAAGCCTGCACTGGTTGCACCAGTGTGTCTCTGTGCTGTGTCCTCAGCTTACACTGCCAGGGCATGCCCCAGCGGCCAGTGGCACCTCTCACTGTCATACTGTGCTGTCCTCAGGACAGAGACCTAGCACACATCTGACCAAGGTCAATCAGCAAAGGCTCCCTGAACAGTGAAAACATCCCACTCCTCCAGTGCCAGATGTGCTCTCAGCCCTAACAACACCTAACAACTGTCTTCTCCATGGTGAGGACTTCTTTGCAGTATCTAGTCCCCTTGGGCTACAATGGGAGACACCTGTCAGAGAACAGGCTTAGCGTATGAAACCAGGGCCAGATCAGCCAGTCAACGAGCAACACTAACGACCCTTCTCTGTGCAAAGGACTGGGTCAAGTAGCAGGGACAGAGTGACGAGGAGAATAGATGGGGTCTCAACAGGGAGGAACTAGGAGTCTGTGGGAAAAGAGATAGGAATTTGGGCACACAAATAAATCCTGAGAAGTGGGCCTAGGCCTAAGGCTAGAGGGAAGAGGGTAGGGAGCGCCAGGGAGAACAGAGAGATGAAGCAGGGTACTCGAATTTGAGGCATCCAGCATGAGAATGGGAAGGAAAGGGGTCAAAAAAAGGCAGGGAACAGCCTAAAGGACTACGGTGATGGATCATAGGGGCTATGGTGGCAGAACTATGGGGACTACACCTAAAGGGAGAAATCAAATATTGCACAAAAAGAACAATGATGTAAGAAAATAATTTAAAAAATAAGCACAGGTACTTGAGACTCCACAAGGCCACACAGCCAGAGAGAAAATAAGATGTGATGAGGTGATAACATGGGCCAGTGTGCAAAGCTGGGCCCAGAGGCTGGATGCCACTCTAAAGGCCCCAAAAGGGGCTTCCCTGGTGGCACTAGGGGTTAACTCTCAGCACTATGAAGCTATTGGCCGCATGAGTTCCATCCCCAGCCAGGGAGCTGACCCACATGACACAGCAGACCTCTCCAGTCTCACTTGCTGCTCCCCTCAACAGTGTATTTCAGTCAATCCACCTATTCTGCTCCCCACTCAGTCTCTGGTGAATCCTCTCACTCCCCACACCTTTGGCCTATACCCCAGTTCTTATATGTAAAAATAAATAAATCTTTAAAAGAATAATAAAAAAATAAAGGCCCCAAAAGCCTGCATCCTGCATCCTCTGTCCCTGGCAGGGAGTCATTCCCTCCTGCTACCCCAGCACAGCCCAGCAGGCCTGCAGACCCAACTTGGCAGGCACCAGCTATACATAGGACAGGGTTCAGCCTTCATAAGCTACTCTGTCCTCTCTCAACACTCCTCTGTACTTGGGACTAGCATGTTTACTCTCTTCGTTACACGTCTGTTGTCTTCATCCACTAGAACATGAGCTTCCTTGGAGAGGATGTCTCTTACTCAGTGTGCATCCCTAGCCCCTGGCACAAGGCCTGGAGCATGGAGGAAATGGTTGATCAGTGTCAGTGAGCTGTAGAGGGAACAGGCAGCTCACTGTCCCCAAATACCACTGAGCACGCCCCCAGCTCAGGCAGGAAAGTTAAGCCCACCACTGTGATGTCTTCAAGACAAGACCAGGGACTAGAGCAACTCACCTTAATCCTCAACTCCTGGTCTGCCTTCACTTCTTGGCTGGTCTGGAGTTCCTGAATCTTCTGATTGGCTTCCTGCCATTTTCTATCAAGAGAAAAGCACATCATGTGCAGGATGTGGTGAAAACAATATCCCCTTCACCCTGAGGGCTCTCCAGTGTGGATACACACCCAGACACTCGCCCTACTAGCGGTTCTGTGGCCTCAGCTCCTCATCTGGAAAGGACAGGGGGAAGTCAAGAACACAGCAGCCCTTGGTCTCCCCTATCCCCATGCTGGTCATACGACAGCTTCCACTAGCTCTGGTACCATCTAGTCGAAGACGCACTGGTGACTTCCCCACTCCACCTAGAGGCCGACACTCACCCTAAGACAATGTGTGCTAAGGTAAAGGCCAAATTCTTCAGGAACATATTCAATCTCCATACCTCATCTCCAGCAAATTCTCTCACACTCTGGACCTTTGCTTAGAATGTTCCTTCTGCCTGGAACATCCTTGCCCAACCACATAGCACCCCAGGGATGTCCTACACAGTCTTTAAAATCTAGCTCAAACATAGACCCTTTCCTGAAGCTCTCTCTAAGAAGACATCCCCACCCTGGGCAGGGAAGAAAAGATGGCTCCCTCTTGTCTCAGAACACTTGCAGCATCGCCTCTTATTCTGCCTTGTCACCCCAGCTCCAGAGGCCTCAGCGTTTGTCCCCTAACAGCCTGTGGATAAGGACAGCACTTAGCCTCAATGCACACGACACTTGGCTGCTGGGGGTCATGAAGGGGAAAGTGTTCAGACTCAGAAGGCGCAGGAAGACAACCTGGACTTCCTGTATGGCATCTTCTGCATGGCTGGCAACGTGTACTCAGTTCCGCCGTGCCCTGAGCAGGTTTCAGGCTGACTACACCCAGGGCAACAGGTGGTCAAGATGACCGGGCCAAGTGGTGGGGACTGTGTGCGATGGCCCCACCCACCCCACTCACGTGTTCTGCAAGTCCAGCTGCTCCTTCAGCTCCTGCTTCTCAGACTCCAGGCGCTTCACTTGCATCTCCTGGTTCATCACATTCCACTGCAGTTCTGAGAGCTTCCCCTTCAGTGCACTGATGGTCTGAAAGCACATGGGGCAGACGAGTTACTTGCTGAGGTCAGCCTTGGCGACTTCTGGCCCATGAAGGGAAGTGAGCACACAGACCAGACAAATGCCCTCATGAAAGCCTGTCCACTCCCCAGGGCAGGGACAGAGTAGAGTCATCTGCTCTCTCAGAACACAGGAACCAGGACAGACAAGATATTGCTCCTCAATCCAACTCCTGCCACACATTTCCCAGAAGCTGATGGGAAGAGACTGGGTAATGGTGACGGGCTCCCAGCCAAGATGGATCCAGACCTCATACTACGCATCTGGAAGCCTCCATGCCCAGTGACCTGGTGATAGCCCTTCCCCATCCCCCACTTCCCTGATGTGCTCTGCATGGTTCTCCCTGGACACCCCATTCTTTTGTCTCTCAGTCCTGACTGCCTTCCCTAACCCCACACAGCACACAACTCTACCAGCTACGTACTGAAGATGCTGCCTAGGAACCCAGGCAGATACCCACCAAGAAGCACGAAATAGGGGACTGAATTTCTCAGAATGATGCCATGAAAGCCACATGGGATGTCAGGGGCTGCAAGCATGCTGTGTAGACTGAAGAGCAACCAGCCCACAGCAGTCAGAAAGGGGGTGACAGGGGTTGTCTGAGAGCAAAACCTCCATGACAAGACCACTGGACATCCAGGAGCAGAATCACCAGCCCCAGCTCAGACTATACCCTCACTGGGCAACTTGCTGGTAATCTCACTCCCTAAGGCTTTTCTGGGAAGAACATGCCACACAGGCCACAAGAGAACCAACCCACTCAGAAGCACCATTGTAGATTAACAATTGGAAACACTGCCACATCAGCCTCTGAACCAGATGCCAACCAGAGTGGGAGGGCAAGAAATAGACAGCAGACACCACCACAGGGATGACACGTGGGGACACCCTCTGCAAACACAGTGCTCATTCACCTGTCTATGAATACCTGCACCAACCCAGGGCCCACTTAAACGTGTCAGCACCAGGCCTCCCTGTTGGCACAAGGGGTTAAGTCTCAGCACTATGAAGCTTTCCCCAGCCACTGCAGCACGAGTTCAATCCCTGGCCTGGGAGGTAACCCACATGGCACAGCAGATCTCTCTTGTCTTGCCTACTGCTCTCCTCAGCAGTGTATTTCAGTAGATCCGCCTGTTCTGCTCCCCACTGTCTCTGGTGAATCCTCTCACCCAGACCCGTCCCCACCTCTGGCCTATACCCCAGCTCTTGTATGCATTAATAAATAAAAATAAATCTTTTTAAAAAATCAATCAATAAATAAATAAACATCAGCACCATGACCCCACGCCCACCTGAGGAGACCAACACTGGGCTTCCACATCCCACACCACCCGTCTATACAGTTTGTTTTATTACAGCAGTGAGTATCAATCTGGCAATCAAAAAAGATTAAAGGTGCAAAAAACATATTTAACAATGAACATATCTTTTGAGAAGTTCTATAGCATTCAAAAATGCAGTGGGCGCTAAGCACTGTGCTAGACACAGGGGACAATGGCCAGTCCCATCGAGGACAAGCATGTGGAGAAGACAGGCTATCAACAGGTCAAGATGACCACAGTGATGAGGTACAAGCCAGGGGACTGAGATAATGGACAGGGAGGGATGTTGTGGCATTAGACTGAGTGACCAGGGACAGTCTCTTGGAGGAGGCAAAAAAATAAGCAAGACTCATGGTCCTCATCCTCCTGGCCTAGACCTTTTTGCAGACGAGGCCCCACTCTGCAGACTGTTTGCAATTTCTGTGGTAAGGGTCTCACTCTTCACTGAAGAGAGTGCAGACTGCCCTCCCGCTGGACATTGCACCTGCTTCCCACAGTCCCCATGGGCCAGGAAGGAAGCTCAGGCAAACAGAGACCGAAAGGGGCCTCTGTCTTGAGGCTGATCATGGCTCTTCTCCTGCCAACATCCACATCAGAAGACAGATGTCAGAACAGCCTTAACATGCTCTCCAGTGCTGCCAAGGCAAAAATAACCTGGAGCCTGCTTCCGAAGATCCATCAAATAGAGAAAGCCACACAGAGAGAGAATACCAATGATCCCACGCTCCCTGCTCCCTCCCTGGCAGTTTTCATCTTCCCTCTCAGCACCTGTGATTTTGAGCAACACAGGAAAGAGACAGGCAAGGTCAGAGGGGTCCAGTTTCCCCAGCATCAATGCCTGGGCTATTTCTAAAATGCATGTACCTTCAACTAGCAGAAAAAGTAAGACTACAGGCTCTGATTCTGGAGATGCTCTCAACAGCCAACAGACCGTGCTAATAATCAAAAATATGCAAATCGAGGCACCTACTTACATCTGCTGAAAAGAAAGAACACAAGTACTTCCAAAAATACCACTATCCCTGACAGGTCAGGCTGCAGTGAGCCCAGAGAGCCCGACGTGACTGCCTGCATACCACGGCAGCCAGCACAAAGCCATCAAGTCACACCTGGGACCTTACACCCCACTCCTGGGCCTGTCCACCAGAACAATCCAACAGAAACAGAAAGGCCATCACATCTGTATGCATGCATATGGGGCGGGGGTTGGGGGGGGTGGGGGCAAGGGAATGAAAAACTAAAACAATTGAAAACAACAAGAAATGGACTAGTAAACCATTAAAAATCATAATTACGAAGACTACAAATGTATTTAACCTATTAAGTGAAAACTAGAAAATGGAAAATTAGTACTTTTGCTATTATTGCAATTATGCAAAGCCTGCAGGGGCCCATAGGGAGGCAGCACTGCCGCGGGGGAATCTAGATGGCCTGTCTCTCTTTCCAGGACAAATGGCCCAGGGAGAGAGAGGGAGGGTGGGCAGGCAGCCCCCGAGGGCCCAGAGTTTAAGGTTGGTCCCCTCACCTCGCCGGCTTCGGCCAGGCCGTCCTCCTTCTCCCGCAGCTTCTTGCTGGTGGCATCCAGACTCTGCTTACACAACCTGTGGCGCTCTTGTTGCTCCTTCATCTTCTCCTCCACCTCGGCCTCCCGCTCCTGCAGCTGCCGAATGCGGGAGAGGAGCTCCTGGTTGCGGTCAACCTCACGCTGCCAAGACAGAAGGACTTTGTGGGAGAGAGTAGGAGACCTGCCCTGTGCTCCTCCCCGAGGAAAGGATCCAGACCCAGAGAAGAGCCAGCAGAGCTGTCAAAGGCAGGAGAGCCAGAGGCTGGGACCCCGCCCCAAGGCGAGTCCTCTGGCCACAGCAGCACCACACCCCACACAGGGAGCCTGAGCGACCCAGGAAGACGCTCAGCACAGATCACACCACGCCGTCATTAGCCGTCTGCGCAGGGTGACCATCGGTATAGGAGGTGAGGCGTGGAAATCTCAAATCCAGACCTGACCTTGGAGAGACACCTCTGAGCATCTGCAGCAGCAGTGGATTCTGTAGGCGCGCACTGGGGCTGTCGTTAACATGAGTCGGAATTCTGCACCTCCGCTCCCCCACCCACATAAGCAGTCAACCGATCGGGGACAGGTGGCGTGGACATGCGTCTGCACACAGGAACAGTTGATCCCAGGGCCCCAGTCTGCCATGTGGGCACATTAATTTCCTGCAAACCTTGGGAGTCAGTCTGTCTCTGTGCCTCAGGGAAATGAGTGACTTGTGCGGGTAAGGAATGGACAGAACTTAGACTCTTCACTCTGATGATCCTGGGTTCCTAAATGTCAACTCTTGGTCACCGAGGTTACCCTGAGCCCATGGAGCCCAGGGGCCACAAAGTGGGAGCTTGAGTCATGGGGCAAAGGCGCCGAGACCTGCTGACATGAGCCTGACGCTGCTGAGCCTTCACCAGCCTCTTCGGAAAGCTGAGCTGCAGAAGCTTCTTCCCAGGACAGCCAGGTACTCCCAGGGCCTGTCTTACTCAGACAAGCGCTTGTAACAGGACCCTTCCACTCAGCTTAGTAAGAGCTGAGGCGGGGTAGCAGCCTCCTGGGACCCTGAGTTGGGACCCGAAGGGATAAGGAGCTGCAATTATAACCTCCAAACAGCCACGAAGTCCTGCACCTGGGACCCTTCCATGCTATAGGAACAAGGTTGTAGGGTGAGTCAGTGCAGTGCCCTGGTCAGCAGGTCAGAGCAGGAAGAGGCATCTCTACCAAGGCTGCCAGTCCCAAAAGCAGGTGAGGCAGTCCATACAGGGTCCCAGACACCAGTCCCATTATTTAATCAGTACTTGTAGGTGGGAGGGGCCAAAATCATAACCCAGCAGTCCTTCCCATCCAATGAAAAATGCTAGTCCCTGAAAAACCATTACAAATGTCCAATACACAAAGGAACAATTTGAAAATCACTGCTTCAGATGGTTCTAGGTCAGCCAGTTGTCAGTGAGCAGGGAGGGCAAGGCCTCACCCAGACTGGCCTAAGCTCAATGAGGGATCCAAGGATTAAGCTTGGGCAGCCCCGTACCTCTGGACTCCTCAAAACAAGACTTTCAGAGATCCTGCAACAACCCCTTGCTTGTTCAAACATTTTCTGGGTCCCTCATAAGGTGCCACAGCCTTTGCCAGACACTGGAGTTGGAACCAGCCCTTGCCAATAGTTCCATACCATGTCTCCTACCTACGAGCCAGGGCAGTGCCACAACACCTCAATTCCTATAGTGGGATGACCCCTGCTATAGGAACCCTAATGAAGGGCACTTCAATAGCTGTAACCTTCCCATGGTCTCTCCCTGCCTCCTGCCCCAGAACTGCCTCTCCTAGAAGGCTCAGAGCATATGGAAAACGCTGCCCCCAGGAAAACAGCATTGGGAGTACCGCCAGGGTCAAGGCAGCAGCACGCTGCCTGCAGATCATGCCTCTGGGCTTACTGAGCCCGCACAGCACACCATACCCAGGAGCCTGCACGCCAGGTTCAAATACATCCAATTAGCAGCACATCATCTAAGACATCAGCTATTTTTACAGGGACTAGGAAAGCATGCAAATATGCCACATAAGGCAAGAACAAGGCCACTCATTCATCCTCAGGGAAAGCACAGAGGCTAGAGACTTTCTGGTCCAACGCTCCGCTTGCCACTTGGCAGCATTTCCACAACTCATCAGCACTTATTAAGAAATCTGGCAAAGTGGCGTCCCTGGTGGTGCAAGGGGTTAAGCACCGCACTATGAAGCAATCCGCAGCCTCTGCAGCACGAGTTCAATCCCCGGCCGGCCAGGGAGCAACTCACATGGTGCAGGAGACCTCTCCTGTCTCGCCCGCTGCTCCCCTCAGCAGTGTATTTCAGTCAGGCTGCCTGTTCTGTTCCCCCACTCTGTCTCTGGTGAATCCACTCACCCCACCCCCCCACCCCCACATCTCTAGCCTGTTCCCCAGCTCTTGTATGCATAAATAAATAAATCTGTAAAAAGAAAAAAAAAAAGAAAGAAATCTGGCAAAGTGCTGTTCATCAAAGCAAAGAAGGCAAAGGAAAAACCTAGCACCATCTCTGGGTAGCAGGGTGCTAATGCTTTCCCAGCCTGCCCTGCATAAGACAGGAACGTCAAGCAACTCCAAAACTGGAGTTCTCTGCTCTGAAATCCCACAATCATTTCAGCAACACCCAGCCTGGATCTGAGACCCTTAGGTAACCTAGCAACATCCCACGCCTATGATTCCCCTATTATCTGGCACTGAACCCTAATTCTGCTAGATCTGCACCCTAATTCTTCCAGAGGGAGGAGGAAACTAGGAAACCCAGAAAAGAGGTAGGCCTGCCAGCACCAGCACCTCACTGGGCAGTCATCCCCTCCATACTGCCCTCAAGGATGCTGAGCACAGTCAAGATCTGTGGCCTGAGAGGCAGACCCTGGCAACCCACGGGGTAAAGTTCGTAGGCTCCAATTCAGCAGGCTCTTATTTGTGTGGTCTGCAGGTACCATACAAAGCCCCTGGTTCCAGGGGGCTGCTTGACTGAACCCACCTCATAGCTCCTGGCACTGGTGCTGGCTGCCCGCTCCAGCTCCACACGGGCCCTCTTGTGGCTCAGCTCCATTTGCATCTTCTCCCGCTCCACCTGGATGAGGTGAGACTTGGAACGGATCTGCTCTGCTCGCTCCTCCAGCTGACCAGGCCATACCCAAAAGAAAGAGAACTCTCAGTAGCTGCACCTAACAGGAAAGTGGTTCATTCAACACTCACTCGCTGAGCAGCTGTCCCAATAAGGCCTGTACTCAGCCTCAGGGTGGATGCAACACTGGGCCCCCAGCTGGGAAATGGGTGTGGGGAGGCAGCAAGCAAAGAAAGGAAGGTAAAAAGTGATAAAAGAAGGGTATAATTTAGGATGATAGTGTCTACATTTATTTTGGAGAAGAGGGTGTTAGTTTCCTAACACTGTGTAACAAATCACAACAAACTTGGTAGCTTAAAAGATCCACATATCCGCTGAGAGTCCTGTAGGTCAGAAGTCAGCCACACATGGTTGCACTCTCTGGTCAGGGTCGCATAGGTTAAAATCGCCATTGTCAGCCAGCTGTGTTCACATCTGGAGCTCGGAATCCTCCCCACACTTGCATGGTTGTAAGAACAAGGCCCATTTCCTTGTCATCCTTGTCATCTGGGAGCTGTCAGCTCCCAGAAGCTGCCCTCATTCCTTGCCTTATGGCCCTCTCCACCCCTAGAATGACCAGGGAGAATCCCCCACCTGAGGACCCCTCTCTGTTCAGCATCTCTGACTCTGAATGCTGACGTGACAGAACCCACCAGGCACTCTACCCAATCTTAAGGTGGACTGATTGAGAACTTAATTATATCTTCAAAGTCCTACAAGATAATGATACAGACCAAAAGAGCCAAGGATAAGAAATCCGAGGTCATAGAAAAGGCATCTTCTCTGTACCACTCGCCCCATTTTTGGGGGTCTATGTTCTTTACCCCTGTGATATTTTCTCTCTTTTTTAATTCCCACCTGTTGACATTTGGAGGGGGTAATTTCTAAGTCTGGTCTCCATCAAACTCACTACCCTTCGTAGTCTCACCTCTGGGTTGGCAGTAGGTCCCAGCTTTTCCAAAGGACAGCAGGACCCCACCTCCAGGTGCCACTGCACAGAGATCAGGAGTCCCAGAGACAGGGTCCATGGACCACATCTTCCTGGAACAATGACTGTATTTGGAAGTAACTGGAACATTACTTTTACATTTCAAACACTGATGCATAGTAGAGCAGGCTATAAACGCTTCCAAACAAGACCCTTAAAAAAATGTGGGACAGGGAGACTAGTGGGAAAGACATAGCAACCTCTGCTCTAGACCCCCAAATGTGCATATTCTCTGTGCCCTTACCTGTCATTTTGGGGGCAGTTCAGGAAAGAGAAATAATCCCAGACTGAGTTCCTGGACAGGACAGAGTCAGGGTTCGAGGCCAACCTTGCAACTACACGACTAACCAGCTTGCTCAGCTACACTGCTCACTGACTGACCCCAACAAGGGAGCCTTTATAGCACCAGCTGAAAGAACTGAAGACCTCCAGAGTTCTAGATTCTATAGTTCTCACAGGTAAGCTAAAGTTTCTATTTGCATCAATAAAATAATAAAAGCTTAGACCAATGTTGCCAATCTTATTTTGCCAATGAATAAGAATCAAAACCAGGAAATTTTATGACCATCATCTTTTCAAAAAAAAAAAAAAAATTTAAGGCCAAAACCAAAATAAACATAAAAGACCTAATTTCAGGGGCCTCCCCAGTGGTGCAGCGGGTTGAGCACAGCACTGTGAAGATGTCTGCAGCCTCTGTAGCGTGGGTTCGATTCCCGGCCAGCCAGGGAGAAACCCACATGGCGCAGCAGGCCTCTCTTGTCTCACCCGCTGCTCCCCTCAGCAGTGCTTTTGGCCCATCTGCCTGTTCTGTTGCCCGTTCTCTCTCTGGTGAATCCTCTCACCCTCCCACGCCTCTGGCCTGTACCCCAGCTCTTGTATAAATAAATTAAAAAATCTTAAAAAAAAAAAAGACCTAATTTCAGAAAGAACAATCCTTGCCTCCTCCCCTCCCTGCCAAAAAAAAGAAGCAGTAAGCAACTCAGATTACTAATATATTAATTCAATTGCTCAGCAAATGAATGCTTTACCAAACACTGTACAGGCCTCAACAGGGCTCCCAGAGCAACCAGAAAGCCCTGGCCCCTCTAACACAGGACCCTGACACGGAATGGCTCCAGCAGCACGTGAAGGATGACAGGACAAGAAGAATTGGGCAGAGAAGCCAGGAAGGGGTCAGATGCTGGTGCAGAGAGGCAGAAACCTGAGCAAGGCTGCAGACACCACACTCCCATCCTGTGTGGACCCAGTGATGCCTGCCACAAGTGGGACTGACCCAACAACTCTTTAAAGCCTTAAGTTACTCAAGAGACCAGATCCCTTCACAATTATGTCTACATTAAGCATTGCCTAGAGCTTGAAATAAAGTAAAATGAAACCATAATCAGAGTAAAACTGTAAAAATCACCCCATGACAGACTGACTCAAGATCGGCAAATGGCCTTTGATAGTCTAAGACCCTCACATACCCAATCCTTTGTCACCACCCCAGCTTTCTTACTTGGCTGAATGAGACCCATTGTCTACAACACAGCCTTCACATGTGTTACACTTCAAGGAGAGAGCATTAGCTGGAATATTCCAGTGGTCATGCTCCCAGGCATGATTTTGTCCTTAATTAAAAGACTACACTGATTTTCCTGGCCTATCACCAATATCGGAGTTCATTCGTGTGAGTACAATGCTGAGCACCAGACCCACCTCAGATATGCTAACAAATCAGGTTTTTAAGTCAGTACAGTTCAGATTCGGACCACTGCCTCCAGCCTCTTCCCAAAGTTATGAACGCCTACCCTGGAGATCTGGGGGACAGCTGGCTGGCCTTCAAGGCTGAAATAACACTGACATGACTCAACTATCTGGAGTGCAAAACAGTCCTAAATAAGGGGAGATGTCTTCATTCAAAGGGCCCTAGCTCAACACATGGACCACCAGAACTATCTGGAACTTGAACAGGCCCCTCCTAAGGAGAGGTGTCTTTCCTTAAAGGCTCTATCCCACCAGAAGGCATTTACACAAGCAGGCCATACCTAAGGGCACTTATCCTCACCCAGAAGTCCATTTCCCAACACCAGCACTCACCTGCATGCTCTGCTGGTACTGCATCTGTAAAGAGCCTTGGGCAGAGGTAGAAACATCCAGTCCAGATCCTCCTTCCACTCGCTGAGAAATGAAGTTGTTCAAAGATCTCAGGGTTGATAGGACGGTGGTGTTTTCCCCTAAGTCTTCCATGGCATCTGCCCTTCTGGAAGAAGACAAGGGAGGGATCAGAGCAAGCTTTTCATGTGCCACCAGTTCTGACACTGTCCAGTCATGGGGTGCCTCTGAGGAGCATCTCAATGTTAACTATAATTATGTGGCAACAATAACATTAATAAATGTACTACTATTTTCAACCAGGTAGCAAAAAGATAGCTTTGGGAAGTTAATTGAGTACCAGGACTGAATCTGCGCATCCTCATGTGTCAACTGAGGATCATGAAACCCACTTTGCAAAGTTGCAGAGGAGTCCAGTGTCCATAAGAAGTCTTCAAACACAGATGGTGCAACTGTTACACAGTTTATCACTCTGCTTGTACTTTTACAAAGGACATCTCAATCTTCACCTCAGGCAGATGAATTAGGTCTTTTCAGAAATATTTTAGAGATGATGAGAATGAAGCTCCAAAAAGTCAGAGTTGAAATTAGAACATGGGTCTGTGAGTATGCCCCACAAACCACCAAATGGAAGGGCTAAGGACAAGCGGTAGCAAAGAATATACGGCACCAAACCTGTGCTTATTTTGACTGGAATGGGATGGAGTATCCGCGGCCTGTGCAAGCAGAGCCTTATCTTCTGTGGGCCACAATTTAGCTGCCCCCCCCTTCATACTCTAAATGAAAAAAGGATAGGAAGAGTGATCAGATGGAGCACTCTACACGAATGTGGCTAGCAGACACAGGCCTGCATGGCAGGAGGTAGCAGAGTTCTGCTCCAGAAAGCAAATCCTTTCATCTGCCAAGAAGTAGACAAGGCCATACTCTCCATCCCATGATGGGAAATTTAGCCAATATATCCGCTTCTCGAGATGCCATCCCTGACAAGGAAATGCTGGATACAATAGAGCGAAAAGAACACAAAGACACAAAGGAACTAAGCTGCCCCATAAGGGATGGGATATGGTGGCAATTCAAACTCCATCCTCTTTACCCAAGAAACTCAAAACTTCCGGCAGCTTAAGCACTGAATCCCAACTGCTCTCAACAGACCCCTAAACTGGAAGTCCAGAGCACACTGCCTCTCAACAGCACTTCTCATCGTTGTCAAAATGTTGAAACCTGCAGAAACTACAGGGTAACCATCACCCAGCAACACAACTGCACAACACCATGGCTACCATTAAGTTGACCTCATAAGTTCACGACATGCCTTTTCTGTTTTCTCAAATTCACACTAAGTATGAACGCCAGTCCCCATTCTGCTAAGTACCAGCAAACTGTACAACTCCGGGCAAGTCACTTTGCATCCTTCCCAGATTTCCTGAACTGCAAAATGGAAATGGTAGCAACTTCCACGTTTCTCTCAACTGAAGAAGAGGTCAATGTACGGATCAGCAGCAAAGGGCAGTTCTGGAGAGAACTTCTCTGTCTCCAAGACTGTCTCAGGGGAGCCACCTGCTTCGCGAGGACCTGTGACATTCTCTGCCCTGGCGCTCTCCTGCCCTCGCGATCACTGACCATTTGCAGCTGCTCCTCTTAGGACAGGAAACCTGGGGAAGCTGGGGTGCAGATGCCGGTTCAGAACAGAGGACAGGGCACTCAGAGAGGGGTGATCTGACTGAGACCCGCCCATGGTGACAGAGTGGGGACTGCAAGGGGTCTCGGGGATTAAAAAGGGGGAGCGGGGACGCCGGATCAGAGCTTGCAGCGCGGGGAGAGGCGAAAGGGGCGGCATCTGGTCCCGGCGGGCAACCCCCGCACATGGGCAACTGCCCCGGCGCCCCGGCCCCAGCTCCCGCCCCACGCCCCGCGCTAACCTCGCCGCCCGCCAGTGCCCGCTCGCCGCCGCCGCTCAGATCTCCCTCCCTGGCCGGCGCCCGCGTATCGCGAGACGTGCGGCTACGGTCTCGCGAGATCTGGGTGGATCCGGACGTCAAGCGCCGCACTAGCCCGCTGGCTGGTCCGCAGGGTTCCGCGAGGTTCCGGGAGCTGCCGACCCGGGTGGACCCCGCTCGGTGCCGCCTGGGAACCTGAGGCCGGCCGGCGGCATTAACGGGGTGTCCCGGTCTAGCGCGGGACGGGCTTCCAAGGAGGCGGTGGCGTCGCACCGTGTGGTGTAGGGAGCACCGCCCAACGGCGGCCTATCAGGGCCAAACTTTGTGCGCTCTTAACGCTCCCCCCTAGCCGCGCCAGCACCGCCTGGCTCGCCACGTTGTTTTCCTCGGGGCAGTTTCCTGTGCTGGCAGGTTACCTTCCTAGTGCCCGGTGAGCCCGGTTCTCTAGGCCCACAAACAGCGGCTTCCCAGGACGATGCGACCTACTTTCCTCTCCCGAGCTTGTCCGAATTCTCCTCCTCACCTGTGCAGTTCCGCGGGGGATAAGCGCTGAGGGTCAGAACTCCCTTCCTCCAGAGGACACAATGGAACGAAATGGGATGGGGAGAGGGAGAATGCGGTGGAGGTTGAAAGGAGGGGGATACGCTGGCCTTTGTTTTATTGTTGTTTTGTTTTTGGGTTTTTGTTTTTTGGTTTTTTTTTTTTTTTTTGTCAGCTGAAAATAAAAGGTCTGGCTTGTTCTGGGATCCGGACTAAGACATAAGATCGTGATGGAGATTCCGGGGTATCTGTTCTCCCCCCCCCCCACCCCCACCCCCGTACTGGTCCTTAAGATTTAATCATCATCACAGTCAATGAATACTGAGCCCACCTCCAGGAAATGGCTTTGAAAAAACCAGATTTCCTTCAATTCTACAAATCTTAATACAATCTGCATTCATAAGTAATATAATCTATATCTGCCTGGTGTTCTCAAAAGAGTAAAAAATTAAACGAACGCACCACATTGCACTTGCTTTGTCAATTAGCTTTAGGGTCTTGGAGTATTACACCAACAAATTCAGCAAAAGCCCAAGCACACACAACCCAATGCCTTCCCAAATTGCCCTGGGAACTCCTGCTGCTTGAGGAATGAATGCCTTTCCAGATTACTCACCAGAGAGATGGAAATTCATCCCCAGATTGAAATTTCAAATTTTTCTAAGTAATTTGGCCAAAATAACAACTGGAAAACGTGTTCTTGGTGGAAAGTTGTTCTCTTTAATTGCCAACTGTTTGTAAGCTGGGAAATTTACACAGGGATGTGTGTGTGTCCCTCTCCTTCAACATAACTCCATCCTTCTATCTTTGCCTATTTCCCATAACTTCCTCTTCAGTAAATCATATCACAGGCTGTTTCTTACGGTAGATTATGGCCATTGAATATATTTCTGTCATATCTTATCAGTTAAAAAAAAAAAAAGACTCCCATTTGTTCTGCCTGCTGCATCTCCCAGGTTAAGCTCAGTTCTCCCAGTCTCTTCTGGAAAAGAGCTCAGGCTACATTTGCAATGAAAAGGGACCAATAATGTAGAAGAAACCCTCAGTCCTCCAAAGAACCCTTCACTCCTCGGTACTGTGTGCCCAAGAGGTACACCTCTGAAGATTCTTTCCTGCTGGCCTCAGGTTTTACAATCCTTGTGTTCTGGAAGTCCTCTCTCAGCCTCTTATGCAACAGATGGCTCTGACTCCCAGCCCAGGTTTTACAAAGAAATGTACCCCCAGGGTGAAGGATGTCTGGAGCTAGGGCCAGGAGAGACATACACAGGCTAATGAGTCTGTCGTGATCAAGGTCACGGATCCCTGTGGCATTGGGTGCCATGTCACTCAGAATCACATCTGCTTTCCCACCAGGAAGCAGCTCTCCAATCCTCTGGAAGGTTCTTGGGTCAGTCACATCAGCAGGGCACAGAAAAGTTGCTCCTTCCAGAGGGAAGATGTGAAGAAGATCGACCCCAAGCACAAAGCCAACAGGAGCCTTGGGATCTAAGAAAGAGTGGATGCATTATTTATTTACACCCTGAATCTTCCCACAAAAATACAATCATAGAAATAAAGTGAAAACTAAAAAAAAAGAGCTCATGTGCAATAAGTGGACATGAGACTTCTCCTACTTTCTGCATATCCTACAAAACAATGTGTGTGTGGGAGGGGGGGGGTCTTCTGCAGCTGAGGAAACTGAAGCCCACAGAGGAAAAATAACAGTACCAGAGTCACACCTGAGTGATAAGCAGACCAGAGCCACACCAGCACTTGATTCCTACTCTGATTTCATTTCACTCCCTGAGGCTTGCTCTCATGAAAGGGTTCTTATCGCTGAGTAGTCTATGATAAACTAAATAGGAAAATACAAGTGTCTCTGGACTAAGTCAACAGACCCATTCTGCAACTTTATCCAATTTCTTTCCATCAGAAACAAGCCAAGAGATGAGAAAAATGGGCAGATCCAAAATAAGTTACAAAAAGTGATCCTTGCCCATATTTGAAAAATAAGCTATGAAAAGGTCCTCCCTGGTGGCACAGAGGTTAAAGTCTCAGCTCTATCAAGCTATTGCCAGCCACTGCAACATTAGTTCAACCCCAGGCCAGGGAGCTGACACACATGGCACAGCAGGCCTCTCCTGTCTTGCCTGCTGCTCCCCTCAGCAGTGTATTTCAGTTCATCCGCCTATTCTGCTCCCCACTCTGTCTCTGGTGAATCCTCTCACCCCCCAAACCTCTGGTTTCCATCCCAGTTTTTGTATGCATAAATAAAATATATACAAAAAGATATGAAAAGACGTCTGATTAACCTTACTAAAACAAGATGTCCTGCCTACACAAAGCTGTCCCCAGTTCCCACTCCCCTCAAGCTGCAGCTACATTCAAAATCCCTTAAAGGCCCTTTATCACTCGCCCAGGTCTCCCATCTTTGTATCACTTCCCTGTACTGAGGACCTTTGTTCTGATGACAAATGCCAGAGTTGGTAAATTAAGGTGGTAAGTTACAGATCTGCTAAGTAGTTAGATAATACAAAGACTTGGGAGGGAGGGGGCTATTTTATTTTTATCTCAAGAATGGAAGTCCAGGTATGTTGCAGAGTACCTCACTGCAAAGGTGAAAACTCAACCTTCAGCCCTGGAAAATACGACATCTCAGATTTCTTTTTTTCCTTTGACATCCCAGGCCTTACTACCTCAAAGTGTGCACTAATGGTGTTGGTTGCGTTTTTGCAACTTTTGGGAGGAAAGAAACTAAGTCAGATTATCCACACACAACTTGCTTCTACCACTTCTTGCCTACCAGGTAAACTTGGCCATTTTCTTGCTTCTCCAAAAGAGCAATTAGAACATGAACTACTATCAGTTGTGGATATTAGCAAAACTACTAATAATTTCTATAGATAGGCTCAGCAGTGGTTAAGAGGAACTAAAATTCCTGACATAAATTCATTCATTTAGTCAACTAATAGTAATTGAACTAAATAAAAAAAAAAAAATCAAGGAAAGTGTTAAAACTGACCTAGAGCCTGTGGAATCCTAAGACCAGCAATGAGGCTGGTGAGTGAACCGAGGGACCAACACTTCTGGCTCTGACTGCTAGCAGGCCACTAAATTCCTATGAACTTCAATTTTCCCATCAAGAAGATGGACACAAATGTCCCCAATCTCGAGAGTTTGGAAGAAATCTTTGTGAACTGTACCATTCTGTTTAAATTAAGTATAACACAGCACTCTCATACTCCTCACAGCACTGTGCACTTCTGAAAGCAACCCAGAGTCCAAGACAAAACAGGTTAAACACCCAACAGTACAAAAGCCAACCAGAACAGTAGGCAACTGTTTAGCTAAGTTGGAGAGGTAGCTGGTTTATTATAAGGGAACTTTTAATATAGAAAATCTTTGGCAAAACCCCCTAATAGGAAACAGATAACTTGGGTTGAGAAAGAGTGGAGACCCTGGGGGCTGGGGAGAAGGAAAGTCTAAGTAAGACCCATGAAACCCAGGCATCCAAAAATCAGGACCTGGAAACCTCTGGGGACAACTCAGTGGGACTGTCATGGAAAAATGTCAGTATCATTATGTGATAGCTCCATAAAAGTTCTAAATCAGCAACAAGTATATGATACAATATCATTTTCTAAAGAGTAAGAAAGTGTACGTATGTACTTATGTGTGCAAAAAACATTCTTTAAGGATGTACACTAACATATTAATGTACATGTATATCACTGTGGTATGATTTAAGGTGACTTTCATTATACTTTTTTTACCTTGTCTTTCATTTGGAAAATATATTTTTATCATCACTACTAAACAACCAACACAGAGGTTGGTGCTTCACAAAGTAGCTCAGCCACTCTGTGTCCTCTGTGGTGGAGGACAGCTGGCATGTGTCTGCAGACTCTTGGTGGTCAAAAGGCCTAAGAGCAGCGTGGAAGCCCCACCTGTGCCTGCAGCATTGACTCGCTGCACAGCCACCTGGCTCCACGCTCCAGGAGCCGCCCCACAGTCCAACACCCGGAAGCCAGGTTGTAGGATTCGGTGCTTCTCATTCACCTCCAGAAGCTTGAAGGCACTTCGACACCGATAACTCTCCACTTTCGCAGCTTTCACAAATGGGTCCTTCAGATGCCTGCTCAGCCACAGGTGCTCCGCGCCGGTCCGACCCCTGTAGTGACTGCTAGTGGTATGGAACTTCTGGCGCAGGAGGGAAGCACATACTAGTTTCAAGAACCTGATGAGAGAAAAAGGAAGCAAACAGGTTGGCATCAACAGATAAGCAGATTGCAAGTTCAGTGGGGTTCTCAGTTCAACCCACACATTTTCAGAGATGGGCCAAGGAGGTCCAAGAGGGTAAGTGATTCTACAAGACCATACAGCCAGGAAGCATATGTTATGAGCTGAATTGTATACCCCCCAAATCCAGATGTTTAAGTCCTAACTCTCAGTAACTCAAAACATGTCTGGCCTTTAAAGAGGTAATTAAGTTAAAATGAGGTCATTAGCTTGGGCCCTAATCTGACAGGTGTCCTTATGAGAAGCCATCAAGACAGACACACACTGAGGGAAGACCACATGAGAACAGGGAAGAAGGCAACTGACTATAAGTCAAGGAGAGAAGACTCAGAAGGAACCAGCCCTGCCAAAACCTTGATTTCAGACTTCCAGCCTCCAGCACTCTATGAAATAAATCTCAGTTATTTGAGCACGCTGGTTGATGGCACATTATGGCAGTCGAAGCTGACTCAGACAATGGGTATCTATCACTTAGCCAAGAAGCAATTGTTCCCCTGGAAGTTTTCTTTAGAAAGCAAACTTAAACACCAATGATAGCTTCTTCAAATCAACCAAAATTTTCCCAGCACTGATGAAACTAATTAAAATAGATTCTTTCTCATCTAGTGCACATTTCCCCTGGATTGAGAGACTATGAAAACCCCCGAAGTTCAAGTCCTGCCTTGGTTACTTAGTTTCATGGCTTCTGTGGCCAGCACAGACCCTGGTCTGTCATTGTCTTAATAAAATTGACTTCAAGGGGGCTCCTGGTGGTGCAAGGGGTTAAGTCTCAGCACTGCGAAGCTATCAGCAGTCATTGCAGCATGAGTTCCATCCCCCACCAAGGTAGTAGCCCACATGACCCAGACATCTCCTGTCTCGCCACCAAGGTAGTGATCCACATGACCCAGACATCTCCTGTCTTGCCCGCTGCTCCCGTCAGCAGTGTATTTCAGTGTATTTCAGTCAATCTGCCTGTTCTGTTCCCCACTCTGTCTCTGGTGAATCCTCTCACACTCCCGCACATCTGGCCTGTACCCCGGTTCTTGTATGAATGAATAAATAAATATTTAAAAAAATAAAATTGACTTCAACCAATGTGAATAGTTGAGAGGCAATTTCTCTGGAAAAGTTTACAGACTGGCCACTATGCCAGGCATCGTAGCAGCTATCCAGACCTCCCTTCATTTTAACTCTCAGAACAATCCTCCAAGTTCCATGTTTTTCTAGTGAGAAAATTAAGTTATCATTATCCCCGTGGCTCCAGGCTTACCACCACAACATGTTGACAAGATTGCAGACAACGACTGGAAGCGCTGTTAAAGGGGCCTCTCGGGAGTAACAGGAAGAGGACAGAGTGGTCCAAGGGGCAGAATTGAGTCCCGGACTAAGGGGAGGAGTGGAGAGTGGAAAGAGCTGCACACTCCGAGCCCACCTGGTTTGGACAGCTGACCTCTCACACCCGTCCACCTCCTCGAGTCCCCGCATCAGCTTCTGTGCTCAGAGCCGCGTACCTGCAGGGCTGCGGTGCTGCTCTCAAGCTTCACCTCCACGGTCACCTCATGGGTCCCGTCCTCTTCTAACGACCTCTCCCAGCAGGGTCACCTCACCGCCCTCCGCTTTCTAAAGCCCTTCACGGGCCCCTCGGCAGCTCCCCGGGAGCCCCGCCGACTGCTCATGGTCACCGGGCCTTCAGTATCCCCCGTCAGCCCGCCAAGGCCGAGGCGGGCTCAGCGCTCATTCCCACCAGAAAGTGGGGGCGGCGCGGCACCCCCGACTCCCCCCACCCATGCAGCAGGCGTTCTTCAAACGCCTCAAAGCCCCGGCACCCGCGCACTCACCCGGCCATGGCGGCCCCGCTCAAGCTCCCGCCGCCGGAAGTGCCGGCCGCGCTTCCGGTCCGGCCCCCGCCCCCGGAAGCGGCTCGCGGATTCGGAGGAGCGCGCGGGGCTGCGTACTCGGGTAGACCGAGCGGGGCCGGCTGTGCGGAGGCTGCGGGGACCCGCCGGGGTCTGGTGAGTTGGAGAGCGGAACGGAGAGCGGCGGGGCCGGAGAGAGAGTGGGAGGAGGTGGAAGGAGCTAGTGCCGGACCGGGGCGGGCACACCTGGGGGCACCGGACCCCTGGGTGGGACGGCTGGAGAATTGCATTTTTCGGGAGCCCACGTATGAAAGGTTCATCCAGGAGCTCTACGTGTCTAGGTCTCTGGTAACAGGCCCCAATTTACAGATGACTGGATTCAGGGGCCGCTTGGGTAACATGTGGGCCTGCTCAGTCCTGTTGCCAGCCTCCCAGCCCCTCGGGTAGACTATGGGACCAAGGCGCCTGCGGAGGGGAGCTGGAGGCTAACTACCCCAAATCCAGTAGATCGAGGCCGGGGTAGACATGGACTTGGGCCTCCAGCATTTCTCCAGACATCACCCTCAAGAGGTGGTTCTCACCTATTCCAGCAAGAGGACCTGGCGGCAATGGTTCTTCTGAGTGCCAGGTTCTAGAGCAGCGACACTTGTGTACAGTGTATGCACTCCTGTCACAGAGGGAAAAAACTAGCCAGGTCTCACTGGGTGGCCTCACTTTCAGGAGTCATGCATTCCTTGAAAATCTGGAGGTCTGCAGAGAGGCAGAAGCCAGATTCAAAGGCCAGAAGAAGACCCCACTGATGAAAAGGCCAAGGCCAAAGACTGACCCTATAACCACTGGATAAATTGCATGGCTAGGGGGCTTCCTGGTGGCACAAGGGGTTAAGCACAGCACTGTGAAGCTCTCTGTAGCACAAGTTCCATCCCCGGCCATCCAGGGATCTAGCCACATGGCGCAGCAGACCTCTCCTGATTTGCCCGCGGCTCCCCTCAGCAGTGTACTACAGTCAATCTGCCTGTTCTGTTACCCACTCTGTCTCTGGTGAATTCTCTCACCCCCCACACCTCTAGCCTGTACCCCAGTTCTTGTATGTATAAATTTAAAAATCTTAAATAAAAATAAACTACATGGTTATTTTGGTGCTAGTTGGGCCTGGGGGCTGGTCTGCCCTCCTACTTCTGGACCTTGGCCAAGAAAGTGGAAACACCCCTGTGCTAAGAAGGGGGTAAATGACAGAGTGGCCATCACCAGACCTGCTACATTGGCCTGGCAAAGTGGGCACTAAGGCCTGGTTCTGAAGGCCAGGCCAGAAAATCATTCTAACCCAGAAAATCATCTGTTCCACCTGCCACAAGGCAAGCCATTCATATCTAGGTGGAAAAGACCTTGGCTTTCATCCCTGCCTTTGAGAGCACATTTCCAATCCACCTGGCCTCTGCCACCACTACAGTGCACAGGTTTTCCTCCATACCCCATCCACTCCTGTGCTAAGCTAATCATCCCTCTTGCCTTCTTCATAGAACTCACTGGGACCATGCGTCCTTCCAGACTGTACACCTTGGTTTTAGTGATACAGCCTTCAAGAGTTCTCCTGGGCATGAAGAAACGAGGCTTCGGGGCTGGCCGGTGGAATGGCTTTGGGGGTAAAGTCGAAGAAGGAGAGACCATCGAAGACGGGGCCAAAAGGTGAGGGAGAGATAGCCTGACCTTGGAACTAGTTTGCACACGGAAGAACCATAGAGCCAACCCTCGATGTCACCACTTAGACCTGTGTGACCTAGAGCATGTGCATGAGCCTCAGTCTCTTCATCTGACAAAATGGGCATAACAGTACCCACCTATAAGGATTATCAGGAAGATTAGAGGAAACAGTGCACATAAAGACCTGGCACAGTGCTGAGTACATGCTGGTGTTGCTGTGTGTGCCGGTGGTTTTTGGGTAGATTTGGGAAGCTGCTGTGCATGTGGCTTGCATTGGGAAGTCCTGACTTCCCCTTTCTAGCTGCAGGACTGGTCAGCCACTCCATGTATTCATTTGCTCAGGAAACTGATGACGAATGTTTGTATCAGAAACCTTTAGCACAGTCTCAATTACTTCTCAACACAACTAGCTTCACGTTAGGATGGAATGAAGCCCAGAGACAGTGAGCAGCACACCTGAACAGATTCCTTGCCCTTTTCACTCCTTGCAGTCTTGTTGGGATAAAATGGGATTGTGTGTGTGAAAGTCACAAACCACTACATAGACCCTTAGGACCTGCTAACGTTACTCTTATTCTGAAAACAGTTGGCAACTGTAAGGGCAGGACTGGACACAGTGCAGGTTTTCTAGGATCCCATGCAGACCAGGTAAAGGAGGAGTCAGAGTCCTCAGTGGCTTCTGCAGGTCTTTTATTGGGATTACTAGGTACACGCAGGCAGGGGTGCTGGGGGGCCGGGAGACTGGCAGGCCTCCCAGGCCCCAGCAAGTCTTCACTCTATCTGGGCTCTCCGGCCTTCTCTTGGCTTCTGCTTCTCTTGCTTCTCTCTCGGCTTCTTGGCTTCTGCTGGCGTCCCCATGACGCCGCCCTTAAAAGCACAGTCTTAGCCCATGTGAATCCCATCTACCTATGCCCACACCCTATTCCAGGTGCCCGCCATCAGGCATGCATTCAGGACCGCAAGGATCCATCATCTATCCTGTTGGTGGGAGGGCAGAAAAGCCTGACATCTCTCCTTACCCTACAGCAACCTTAAGGCCACTTCCTTGGAGAGGAGAACAAATCCCCAAATGCATGTTACCAGTGTATCTGGAAGAGAAGAAAGCTGGGGGTGCCACAACCCTGTGGCTTTCTAGTTTGGGGTCTTTTTATAATCACATGAGCACAGCCCATTATAAGAAATGTTTTATACTCTGATATATTGATACCATTAAGACATGAAAATGCTCCAAAATGATAGTCTCTGTGCCTGTTTTGTTTTTTTTTTAAACTTGCCAGTCACAATATACTCTGTTGAATTCATGGTACATGACAGGGTCACAGCCCTTAATTCAAAAAGCTTTGCAAGTCATGTGCCTCACATGCACCTTCCCTCCTTGGCCTGGGACCAGGGCTACTGCCCTGCTGGTGCCTTAGTCATTCCTCCTGGCAACTGCCAGGAACTGCAGCTGGTCCTGCACTGGAAGGACTCACCTGGAGAAAGCCTAGTCTGGTGAGCATCCCCTGCCGCATGAGCCATGCTGGAGGTATACTGGGTGCAGAAGATACAGAAGGGAAATGGACAGAAGCAGGTGGGCGCCAGAGGTCTGCTCTTGCCATTAGAATAGCTGTCCTACCCAGACCATTAGGTTACTGATGTTTGAAACATCCACCACCCAAGCATTGCTCAGTGGCAGGCACTGAAAACCTCTTTATTTCTCTGTCGCTTGTGAAGGTAATTTTGTAGGGTACAGAATTCTTGGTTGCCAGGGCAGGGGGTCCTTTCAACACAGTAACTATTTCACTTTATTCTCCATTGCTTGGTTTTTGAGAAGTTGGATGCAATTCGTATCTTTATTTTTTCCCTCTGGCTGCTTTTAGAATCTTTAATTTTCTGTAGTTTGAAGACAACATGCCTGGGAGGTACAGAGAGGGCCTATATCCTACTTACTGCCCTGAGCTTCCAGAACTGTGGGTGTCTGACATTAATATAGGAAGATTCTCAGTAATTATTGTTTCAAATAGTCCTCCTGTTTGCTTCTCTTACATCTCTTTCAGTGCTTTTATATTATGTCCTTTTTATATATATGTACGTTACATTATTACTCCTTTTTATACAGTGTATGCTTTCTCCTCTCATGTAGACCCCTTAAAATTCCCACCACCCATTCACCCCTGCATCACCTTAGTCCCTTGTGCTCTTCCCTCCTGTTTTCATCCCTCTCTCTCCCCCTGCCCTTTTTTTTTTTTCAGTCATTGTTGTCTGTGCTTTTCCATTTTCCTATTGCTGTATCTTCTATCACAGAGATTGCCTGCTCAGCCATGTCCCGTCTACTAATCAGCCCATCAAAGACATTCTTTCTCTTAGTGACTTTTATCTTTAGCATTGGTTCTTAGGACTTCCATCTCTGCTTACACTGCACATCTGTTCTTGCACACACTGAGAGCCCCTAGCATAGTGCTCACACATGTTTTATGTTCTCTGTCTAATAATCCCAGTATCTCTGCCATGTCTGGTTCTGATGTTCTCTCTTAAAATTATATTATTTGCCTTTTAGTGTGACTTGTATTTTTTTTTTTTCCTTGATCTTTGGATAGTCTGGACCAGGTTCAGGAGCTTCTGTAAATGGCCTTTAGTGGTGTGGTGATGAGGTGTGGGGGGAGGGAACATCACTAGGTCAGTGATTGGGTCTCAGTCCTTCAGGGAGCCCTAGACTGTGAATGTCACAGACTTTCTCAGTTTCTTTTTCTCCCCACTTGGGTGGGACAGGCTGGCTGCAGGAGGCTGGAATTGGATGTTTCCCTTCCTGGGGTCTGTTAGGCTCTGATAAAATGGCAGCAGCTTAGGCTCTGGTTAACTGCGCCCTGAAGGCAGGGCTAGTTAGGAAGAGCTGCAGTGTTTCAGAACACTTCCTTCTCCTCCTCCTGCCAGAAGCTCAGGGATTTTTCTCCATTCGTTACTGTGGAACCTGGTCGAGATTTGGGAGGTAAATTTCACACTCTTGTGGGGGCCTCTTGGCAGGATCCCCTGGAGTTTCACAGTCTAGACTCGTGCACACAAGCCTCCTGCATGTGCTCCGTCTCTGTTCAGCTTCGCCTCCCAGTGCTGGTTCCCGTGCTGGGTCCCTAGGTGTGTCCATGCCTTCTCTACTCTGCTGAGCTGGCACTGACCCCACTTTCCTGTCTGTCTCTTATCTTGGGGGCAGCATTTACATTCCCTCTCGTGGATCTCACAAGAAATGATGCTTCAGTCTGTTCAACTTTTTACTTGTTGTTAAGATGGAGTGGTGACTCCCAAGCTCCTTCTATGCAGGAGTGGAAAGCAAAGTATCTCACCTTTTAGACATGCTATCAGATACATGTATTGCAGATATCTTCTGTAGCTTGTCTTTTTACTCTAAATGATATTTTGATAAAGTTTAATCATTTCTGTGTGATTCCGTATATAGCTTTTTCTTATGGTTATCATTTTTAAGAACTCTTTGGCTGTCCCAAGCTTAAGAAGATCTCCTCCTGGTTTCTTCCCTAAACCTTTCAGAATGGGTTAGATCTTTAATCTCTCTGGAATTGATATGTTTTTTTTTTAATCCCACATAAATATCCAGCTGACCCACCATGGCTTGTTGAAAAAACCATGGTCCCACTGCACTGCAGTGCTACCTTGTCATAAACATATGACATAGTGACAAACCAAAGGGTTTTCTTTTCCACGGTTACCAGGAGTCCAAAGGCATTACATGACTGCATGGGTATAGGAATAAACTGGGCGGAGATGTGCAGCTGCTGTGCTGGGTTTGAACATGGATGGAGGGGACTAGGCCAGCTCTCTAGAACTTGCTATCTATAAGCAGAGGCCCCTGGACCGGCAGCCCCAGCTCCAGGCTCATTCCAGGTTCTGACCTTACCACAGATCCCAAACATCATAAAACCGATGACTTTGATGTTTGATATTCAGAATTATTCATAGCTTTATTATGTCGGTCGCAGTCACCCTATTCAAGACTCTTAATTGCCCTTTGGAAGCTTCATGCAATGGCTAGGGCTACAGCTGCTGCAGGGCCAGGTGCAGGCTTGGAGGAGGCTTCCTCCCAAACCACCCAGCTCCTGTTTGATACCTGGGCATCCACCAGGGCACACCCTTCCACAGCAGAACCTCTCGTGTGACCAGAGGGCATCAGTGGTTTCCATGTTCATAAGCAGTGAGCTAGAGGGTCAGGATATCGCCCCGCAGACACTCTCCATTCAGGCAGGACTAGGCCTCACCCTGAGACTGAGGTCAAACAGTCAATATCCAGGGTCCAATTTAGATCAATCGGCCTTGGCTGAGTAGCAGGATGCTGGCTCTGAGGAGTCTCTTGGGAAGCCCATGTCCTCTCCCTAGGGTTATTCAGGTACTAGCTGGGGAGCAGCCAAGGGTCAGGCACTCTCCAACAGGACTGTTCTGCTACAGGTGAGGAGCAGGCGGAGACAGGTCAGTTTCCAGGGTTGTGTGCACTTCTGCACAGAGCTGCCCGTAGGCTGCCAGCCCTGGCTGCCACCGCTTCAGAAGTGCAAAAAGGGGCTTCAGAAGCAAGTCTGGCACATCCTTTGTGCACGACCCTTTTGCCCATTGGTGTCACAGTTCAAGAACCAGGTTATTATACCCTCTTTACCCACCTCCTCACTTCAGATGGCCCTGTGCAAATCCCTCCTGCATGCTGGGAAGCCATCTGAGCATCAAGATGCCCTGTTCTCAGGCGAGGGGTACAGGCAGTTGGGGGCCTGGAGTCCCTCAGAACCAGGTTTGGGCTGTGGGCAGGTGGAGTGTGCACATCTTTCTGGCCAGCATCCCCGACAGCCCCGGGGTTGGGGAGGACACCGAGTGTTCAAAACTCTGTAAGAGAGAGCAAAGGAGGAACTGCTGAAGGGATCCCTGAGCAGGCCCAGGATGGCAGGGCCCCTCACCCACCTCCCTCCACTCAGCCAGAGGCTGAGCTGCTGTAGCTTTGTTTAATGTGTTACTCATCCTGTTCTCCATCTGCTGTCTAGGGAGCTGAGCATCATGAGACAATCAAACACTTTAGCAAAATCAACAGTGTCATACTGCCTGTGAAACAAGATTAGCTCTGTCCCCAAGATTACTGATATTCCCTACACTGCCATATGCTCAGGGAAAATTTCAGTCAAAACATTAAATCAGTAGGTGAAGTTTTTTTAAAATCAAATCCACCAGCCTGCTGCCAGAGGGGTAGGGGCTTGCTGAGCGCTTCTATTACATTTAATTGGGGAGCTCTTTGCACCCCACAAATGAAAACACACCTAATTTTTAGATCAAGTCTAATTGTAATTAACCATCTCCATGAGTCAATTTTAGCTTTCAAAACCTCCACAGGCCTGCATCTGAAAAGCAGCAGATAGAGGGGGGGCCCGTGGGAAGTCAGAATGGACTCCATACTGGGGAAGGCATCCTTGTAAATAAGACCATTTAACCCAGCATGTGTATGTAAGGAGCAAAGTAGCCTCCTGTCCCTTATTACAGGCATGGAAATTTATTAAGTATGGTGCTCCCAACATAAGAGATCAAAGCTAAAACTATTTTTTTTTTAACATGCAACTATAAACGGTCGGACATAATTAGAACATTTTTATAGAAATGAGTAAATATAGGGTGATGGGGAAGTGAGCCTGACAGGACGAACAGTCTCCTGGCAGCAGCGGCTGCAGGAGTCCCGAGAGTCTGAGCCCAGTCAGTGTTCCAGAACGCGCTTCCGATGACTGAAGCAGCAGCACCATGACTGAGAAATTAGGGGTGTGGGGCGCACATCAAAGGTTCATCATGGGCTTTCTCCATAAATGAGCTTTTTAGTCTATAATACATAACTGCTGAGAAGCCACTTGAGTTCCTTGAGGTGCAGAATGTCACTGCTGTTGTGTGAAATGCACCTGTGCTTGCAGTTTTCTTTCAGGGCTGTACAAAGAAGAAAGATCAAAGGAAAAACATTGAAATGGTAGCAAGGGTTCTCTGGGTGGCCAGTCCATGAGTGTTTGCTAGATCCTCTACAGCGAACATGTAGTTCTGGAAATATCTAGAATGAGGGGCTATACCGGGTGAGTCAGTACTGCATGCTTCCTGTGGCCAGTCAGCCCTCACCCCCACTCCCTCAAGCAGAGCTGGTGGGGACAGGATCCTGAGAATGGGGAGGACAGGGTGCCAGACTGGCCCAAAGCTCTTTTCGCATGTAACCAACTATGGATGAGCTAGGGGGGAGAAGATGGAAGGTATCTCCATGATGAACAAAATAAAAGAGCTCCTCCTTCAGAACTTACAGCAGAAACCTGTGGCTTGGCCCCTGAGCTTAGCATGAGGCTGGAATGATACACCTATGGACAGAAAGACCTAGCTTTGGGGCCCAAGTACCTAGTCTGGAACCTGGTGAGCAGCATTCATGCAGCTGCCACAGCCTCATGGGGAGAGCACAGTTGAAGGGGATGAGGGGTGCCCAGCTCTCCCAACCTCACAGGACACCTCCAAATAACAGCTCAGCCAGGCCTGAGCTGCTACATGGTGCAAGGAGGGTGTTGACTAGGTAGGCCTATGCTTCCCAGCTAGTGGCTCAGCACAATCCTGACCTAGAATCTCTGAACCAAATCAATTTTCAAAAAAGGTACCCAGATAAATCCAAAGGTCAGCCAGGTGGGGAACTATTGGTGTATTGTAGATGATGTTTCCCCCCCGGGTTCCCAGGTTTCCCTGTGATACCTCGGCCCTTAGGTGCACATGTGCAAACACCCACTCCCCCACCCTCCTTGCACCGTTCTCAGGGCTGTGTGGACATGGGCACGTGCTCTGTCACCTTCTGTTCATCTGTCTCTCCACTCCAGGGAGCTGCAGGAGGAGAGCAGTCTGACCGTGGACACACTGGACAAGATGGGCCACATCGTGTTTGAGTTCGTGGATAAACCTGAGCTGATGGATGTGCACATCTTCTGCACAGACAGTGTCCACGGGACACCTGAGGAGAGCGATGGTGAGTCCTGGGACCTGTGCCTTCTCTCCACCACTGCAGTGAAAGTCGGGTCAGGAAGCCAGCACTCGGCAGCCCTGCCCTGTCACTCCCTCTCCGAGGGCACGGCCTCAACGCACCAGCCACAGCCTTCTTCCCAGTCTGTAAATGGGCAGTGGTCACAAGAGTTAAGTACCAAGTACTGTAAGTCCTCACTAAAGTCACCTTTGGGAACTGTGACTAGAAGCAAAACGATGTGTAAGGAAAGCAGGTCCTCGAAAAACATTCATCAGTTTGCCCGGGGTTTCTTTTCCCATCAGTTATAATGAAAGGATGCTGAACAGGACCTGCTGTGTGTCAAGTTCCTTGCAGAGAATCCTGCAGTAAATTCCTCACCAGTCAGTGTAAACCTGGGTTGAATGGGGGTGCTCTTCCTTTCCACCCACTGCAGAGATGCGCCCTCGGTGGTTCCACCTGGACCAGATCCCCTTTAGTGACATGTGGCCTGATAATTGCTACTGGTTCCCCCTCCTGCTTCAGAAGAGGAAGTTCCAGGGATACTTCAGGCTCCAGGATCAGGACACCATCCTGGACTACACGCTTCGCGAGGTGGACTTCGTCTAAAGGAGGGACAAGGCAGGCTTCGGAGCCGAGAGTTGGGGTGTGTTTCTATGTGGTAACTCAACTGGATGAAAGGAAAATAAATGTCTTTTACCTATTAAACGTCCTTCCCTGGGCCCCACCACAGCCAGTCCAGCCCTGACCTCAGGGAGCTGCCAGATGTGCTAGGCTTTGACCCTGGCCACTGCACCATGGGGCGGAAATGGGAGCAGAGAAGACATGTGCCTAAGAGAGGAGGGGTCAGCTTTCTGACTACCCCTAAGGTGAGGAGGGCCTGGCTTCCATCTGCTCAGTGCCCAGGTTAGTGCTGGGGTCACAGGGTAAATCAGGGGGCATGTCCTCCTCTCTCACCCCCTCCCCACTTTGTGATTCGCTCCCTTTTACAGTAAGGGAAACTGAGGCAGGGCCCAGGGTCACCCTGGCTGAGTCACCCCACCCCAAGAGAATGGGCCATTCTCATCCTGATTTCTGACCACCTGGAACAGGGATGAGGGGGTGGGAGGGAGTTAACAGTGACTTATACAAAGAACGCACAGCTGTACCCAACTTTTATAAATATGTTTAATAATTGTTCATGTAAGTTTATTGATAAAAATCTCAGAATATATATCATTTGTAAACAATTCCAGTTTATTGGGTGTGGTAGTAATTAATTCCTGCAGCCTTATAAAGTGCTTCATACAAAAAACCGACTCCCTCAAAGAGGGAAGGCCTTAGATACAGAACCATGCTGATGAGTCACATGTCCCCCGTCACATCTTCCTTTCCTATTCTGTGGTGCTAGCCCAAGGGGCCAGAGCTCATCTGTAACCACTGAGTAGGTGGACACGGGAAGAACAGACTGGACACAGACTGGAAGGCCCTGACCTATGCCAGAGTTCCGAGGCACGCTAAGGCAGTGGCTGGACTTCACGCCAGTCTTCCTACAACAATGGATTTCTTGGAATGGCAGGACCCTGTCGACGGCACATCCCACTGGGATGTTCTCCATGGATGTGGCATGGCCACAGCGATGTGCACTCTCCCCAGTCTGCAGGGAGAGCTCAGGTAGCAGGAAGGTATAGAGGCGGGTGAGCAGAGACTCTATCACCCCGGGTCCTCCACCTTGGAGCTGAGAGCAGCCTCCCCCAGGTAAATACCAGCAGAAAACACCAGACCCCCAAGCCTGAGGACCCACCAGCAGTAGCCCAGGGTCAGGGCCAACAGCGAGGCTTGGTGGGAAGATGACCCGTGCTATCCTGGCTGAAAAACACAGTGCCCTGACCATCCCTAATTCCTACAGTGCAGGGGCTGGAGGTTGGGGTGAACTAGAAGTGCCCTTCCAGATGGACCTGGTTGGGGGTTAGTGCATTCACTCAACTCCAGTATGCTGTGGTCACTTGTCCTTGACCCCCATGAGCAGGACCCAGGCAGGTAAGCGATGGCAGCTCTGCGGTGCCACCACAGGGTGAGACAGAAGAAGCGTGTGGTCATAATTTCTGGCTTAAGGATACACAGTGCTGGAGGGACCCACCCTGTGGGGCAGCACAGGCCCACTCAAGATGTTTGAGAACTTGTCTCACGCAGATCAAAAAGCAAAGCAGTCCAGAAACATGGGCACGTGATCCTAACAGCCCCCAATCACGGGACTCTGGGTGACGCTGTCCCTTGCTTCAGCCAGAAGTTACACAGGCACAGAAAGGCCGTTGAGGAGCCTCAGGCTGGGGCAGGGAAGGCGCAGTATCTCCCACCCCCACTCCCATGTAATCCACACGAGCATCCTGGCCTGACACAGCTGTCTGGCCAGATCCAAAAGATCCTCTCCCCTGGACTGTGATATGCATTAGTTTGTTAGGGAAACCAGCCTGCTGGGGGCATGCAGTTACCTGAGAACCCCCTCCTCTGTTTCTGGTGCATGCTGCATAGACACACAGGCAAAAGTGAAACATCCCCATCAGACTGAAAAATAAGGTAGGCAGCTCAGCAACGCCATGGTCAAGTCTGAATCTCACATCTCTTCCCGCCGGTGCGAATAGGGAACTCACAGGCCAAGAAACCAAAAGGGCCAATCTGGCTGCAGGCCTCGGCAGATACTACCCCATGGAGCTCTACAATCACTTCATCCCACACAGGGACAAGTTGTCCCCTCAGTTACCACAGTGAGAAAGGAAGCTGAGAGGTGTGTGCTTGCATATGACGATGACGTGGGGAGATTACTCTAGAGGTAAGACCCAGCCCAAAACCCCTGGGGCACCTCTGGAGCTCATCCCCTGGAAATTAGCACTCTGCACCCAGTGACTCTTAGATCCTCACCTTCTGGCACAGCTGCCAACTCATAGGCACTCATGGCACCACACACACGCATCCAGGGCATCTGCTGGCCTTAATTACCTGTCTGACTCTCACTGCCCAATTACATGTCAAAGGCACAACTTGTGCAACAGCAGAGTGCTGGCTGCAGAGACTATCCTGCCACCATGAGGCCTCAGCTTCCTCTCCCTCACCCTTTTGACTGTTCTAGCACATGCCCCCTTCCTTGCACACGCTCCCAGGCACCATCTGCTGTGTGCAAACCATCATTTCCACTTGTGCTGCGTATCAGGAGAAATCATTTCAGGGAACTGAACACTTCTCAGCACCAAAACGACAGGCCACAGGGCAGGTGTCAGGCCAGAGGGGGTGGGGACGCTGCAGCAGACCCTGGGTCTTCAGTGGATGCTGAGAGGCCTTGGGATGCTAGGCTCTGCTCCCCCCGAGGGGACAGCTATGGCCCTACCCTGCCCAGCATCAGCTCTTCTGCTCCAGAGGCCTCAGCCCCAGGCCGGGGAGCACACAGGAGGGGGGCGCAGCGCTGTCTGAGGGAATTAAACAGGGACACACCGTTTGGAAAGACATTTTAGTGAGGACGCCGGAGCTCTCGCCCCGGTCCTCTCGGCACTAGTGAAGAGAGAGGCCATCCTGTGGCGACCTCGGTGGGGTCAGGGAGCTGTTTGGTCCCGCGAAGAGGCAGTTTAGCTTGGGCTTCAGATCATTCCACACTTTGCTCATCTGCAGGAGGACAGGGAGCAGAAGGCTGTGAGCAAGGCTAGCCCCTGACTGACGCACAAGTGTCACCTGGGTGTCCCACTCACCTGGGGGCACCCTAGGGGCCACTGATCCCAGATTTAGATTTATCTCCTTATCCTAGAATCACCTGGGGGTCCCACTAAAAAGAGGTTCCTGAGTTCAGGCCTCCAAAGATTCTGACTTAAGGGTCTTATGTAGGAGCTGTGCCCCACAACTCACATCTTGAAAAAATATTCAAGATGTTTCTGGTACAATCTGTTTTCGACCAAGATTTAAACTGTCCACTGGCTGGGTCAGTAAGAATGGTCTCCCAACAGAAAGGGTAATCTCCATCTTCTGTCCTACCCAACCTCCAAGCCATTGCCGCTGACCTTTCTCAACCAGGGATCTGAGTTCATTTTACACTCTGTTCACCAAACAGCCCCTGCACCCACCCCCTTGTGCCCTCCCTGGCTGCACACAGGCTCCATCAGAGCCTGAGAAACCCTCTCTGGGGACCTCCCGGGATCTCCCAATAGCCTGTGTCATTCCTGGTGACAAGGTCAGGTCTAGTGTACCCCCAGCCATAGACCCTGGAACAGAGTGGCTCTCAGGCAGCCCATTACCCACTGAGTCCCCAGGTCGATCTTAGAAGTTTGAGTCATGTTTTATGTCATTTTTCAGAGAGGGACGGCGGGCCACAAAGATGAAATGAGCCAATAAGTCCCTAAGAGGTCACAGAGAGTTGGGATTTGAGGCAGTGTTTGATAAATTCTGTGCCTGAACTCCCCTCACTGTGCCAAGGAGCTGGAGGGGGCCACTGGTAGACTTGCCCCCTCCTCCAAAGGGACTGTGCTCCCAGTGTTAACAAGAGGCCTCGAAGGCACCTAGGACAGAGAATACCAGAAAGCAGGAGTGTGGGAACCACACAGTGGAAGCAGTCTACGGCTGGGGGTACACTAGACCTGACCTTGTCACCAGGAATGACATGGGCTATTGGGAGATCCCGGGAGGTCCCCAGAGAGGGTTTCTCAGGCTCTGATGGAGCCTGTGTGCAGCCAGGGAGGGCACAAGGGGGTGGGTGCAGGGGCTGTTTGGTGAACAGAGTGTAAAATGAACTCAGATCCCTGGTTGAGAAAGGTCAGCGGCAATGGCTTGGAGGTTGGGTAGGATAGAAGATGGAGATTACCCTTTTTTTTTTTTTTAATAGAGGCATGTTTTATTTATTTATTTATTTGCTTGTTTGTTTGTTTATACATGCACTGGGTACAGTCAGAAGCGCGGGAGGGTGAGAGAATTCACCAGAGCCAGAGCGGGGAGCAGAGCAGGCAGAAGGACCGAAGCACACTGCTGAGGGGAGCAGCGGGCGGCAGGAGAGGTCTGCGCGCCATGCGGGACCCTCTTCCGGTGGCCGGGGAGCAGCCGGGGATCGAACCGGCACCGCAGAGGCCATGGGCAGCTTCGCAACCCAGCGCTCAACCGCTGCGCCACCGGGGAGGCCCGAGATTACCCTTTCTGTTGGGAGACCGTTCTTACTGACCCAGCTAGTAGACAGTTTCAATCTTGGTCGAAAACAGATTGTGCCAGAAACATCTTGAATTGGGGGTATTCTTGAGATTGGGGGTATTCGGTCCTGGTCAGGCACCATATTCCAGGCTTCTCAGTGATACATACATGCCGTCATTTGAAGAGGTGAGCAAAGCATCAAAGACATGAGTTACATGCCTCTAAACAAGGGGACCAGGCAGCTGTTACATGAGCTTGGAGCATCATGACAAGCACGACATTTCTTTCAAAAAGCACAGGTGATGCCTCGTGGGGGAAGCTGGCAGGGTTTTCAGGAAGACACTTATCAATGGTATCCCTTAATTCCTCAACCTGATTCCACACCATGTCCTTTCTCAAATTCTTTCAGTTCTCAGGGACCCTACATGCTTTACTTCTGACTTATGAAATCCCTCCAGAAGATACAGAATAGCTCCTTTACAGCCTCAGCTGCTCCTCCCACCACCATGATGGATCACAAGGACAATTTCTCAACTATGGTTCTGGCTCCCTACAAGAGCCTGCTAACTCTCCTAAGTACCTCTCCCAAGAAAGCTGAGAAAGGAGAGCTGCTGGCCCAGGTGGATGGCATGGGTGAGACCTACCTCCTTATGCCCTTGGATCTGAGAGTTGACGAAGGCCCCGAGAATGTGGGAGGTGAGGGGCAGGTAAACGTGCACTAGCTGCGTCTCCTGGTGTAGGCAGTACAGGGAGAAGTAGTTCCGAAGCTCCATGGTCTGGATCGCATTCTCCTGCTGCATAGAAAAGAGCCCATTGGCACTGGGCCGCAGACACAGGATGGAGGGCCCCACAGCCCACACTGTCATCTTCCAAGTCCCAGGGCTCCAGCCTGTCCTCCTATAAATGCTGAACCAAGTCCTACAAGACATCCTTTTGCCCAGGGCAGAGAGACCACTATGAAGGGGAAGATAAGCTGCTGTGGGCACCCGCATGGGTGGCTTTCCCACACCTGTATCACAGCCCACAAGCTTGTCACACCAGCTGTTACTGTGTTACTTAAAAGTCCTTAGCTCCCAGATTCTGACCTTCTGGAAGTCAACCCAAGGATGTCTGGGAGTACAGCTCCATGATCCCCCAGCTCCGTGTTCTCCAAGCACTCTCAGGCTGCCCAGCGTGTCACCTACCCCCAGGAAGCAGACCCAGGCTGCCTCACTCTCCTGTGCCCAAGCTAAGACTACCTCCACGATGCGGGACTCCAGCTGCTCCACAGACTCGGGCTCACGGCTCTGCACAGCGGCGCTCATCATCTGCCTCTTCATCAGGCTGTACTTGTGCAGGGCACGCTGGTGTTTGTGCAGCACACCCTTCTCGTGCCGCTCACACAAGTCCTGTGGGAGGGAGGTGGCACTTGCCCACTTGCCCCAGTACTCTGAGCCATTAGTCCATGAAGTTAGGAATGGATGTGGGCCATCAGGCTCAAGGCCCAGACTCAAAAGTCAGTGCTGGCCCCACCCCAGTGTGAGAAGCCTTTTCTAAGAATGGCTTTCCCTCTTCAGAAACAGCTCACACAAACTCTCCTCACTTCCCGTGTGGAAAGAAAGCACAAATCAGTGGTTTGGGTCAGCAGACCGAGGGTTGAACCATGAAGGATGGCAGTGCAAGGCAGCACCACAAACCAGAACCCATGTAAAACAGGCTCCATTTATAGCCAAGAATACTGGGACAGCTCTAGACCTCGGACTCCAATGCTGTCCAATTCCAGAAAGTAGATGTACCTTCAGCAGGAGACCGAATAGTCTTCATAATGAAGATATAATAGCATTTCTCTGGAGGCCCCAAAGTAATCCCAATCACATCCGTGGGACATGGCAGCCATAGGTCAAGTGGCCAGAACTTTCAGGGCCACCTCACTACCTGGCCACCTCACTCAACAGGAATGCCTTCTAGAACATTCCCATAGCACTGGGCCAGCTCTCCTTGAGTCAAGCTCAGCATGAAGTGTTTCTCTGGCTTCACAGGCGATCCATTCTCTCACTGACAGATACCTAACAGAGAGCTGCCCTCCAACTTCTTGGAATCTCTCCCACTGGAAGGGGAGAGTGCCCTCCTTATTGGACCAGCCCCTCATACTCACACTCACACACCTGCACATACACTCATGCACACATGCTCACTCACACACTCCTTCACAATCATACACACATACATGTTCACACCCATACACACTAACACATACATACACTCTCACAGATACCCTCACACTCTCTCTCATACACACTCTTACCCACTCACACACGCACCCTCCAGGTCACACTCCCTCTTTTCCTAGCGAGGAGAAGCCAGTGGTCATCTGTACACCAGCAGGGGTCCAAAGTCAGAGTGCTCAGCAGAGCCTGCCCCGGGGAAAAATAGCAGAAGCCACCTTCCCTAGGAAGCTCTGCCTCTTGACTCTCCACTCCCCTGGAAAATCCTCAGACTCTAAAATAAGCTCTGCCCTCACCAAGGAGCAGCCAAGACTCACTTTGTAGGATTGCAGCAAGTCCAAGAAGAGGTTCAATTTCTCCACTACATCATTCTCCTCCTGTTTGCCCTAAAAACAAGGGTGAGTTAGCCAACACAGAGCACACACAGGACCTGAGACCCAGCCCAGTGCCACATCCATCCGCAGCCTGGGCTGGCTCCTCCCCAGAACCACCACCAGCTCTGCAGACGAGCCCTCCACATGACAGCCCACTGGAATCCATACCCCAGTCCACCAGCTCAGGTCCCAGTAGTTTGATGAGAACCAAGGTCCTGGCTCCCAGAGCCACCTGCCCACATACTCAACGTATTCAGCACTGCCTGGCCTCCACCCACACTCCAAAACCAAAGTCCCCATGATACAAACACTCCAGAGAGAACCCACCACAGAACAGCTTTGAAACCAGCATCACAGAAAACTCAAGTTTCCATTTGAAGCTGTGGGATGTGTTGAAAAGAGGAAAGAAATGGGAGAGATGTTGGAGGGTCATCTGAATTTTAATAAAAGGGAAAATAAACAGGTTGGCAGGGAAAGGGTTTGTGAAGGTGCTGGAGAGTCTGCAGCTGCAGAAGTGCTGCACATGAAACACTCAGGTCGGGGTAAGTGAACAAAGCTGTTTCCGTGTTTAGGCTGACTGAGGAGAAAAAGCACCTCAGCTCAGGAAGGCCAAGGCCCGGCACAAGGGCAAGGAGAGGGGAGGGTGGGCCACACGGGGCCTCTCTCTTGCGGATCCCATGTATATCTTTGCACAATACAACAGTGTGCTGGAAAGAAACCAGGAGATGCCTGGCAAGCCCCACACAGCACAATCCTGAAACCATAGACGTCATCAGCCACATAGAGAGGCAACCGTGGTAGTAGCATGGGGTGTCCCTGGTAGTAACAGGGGTAAAGCCCTGCTCCTGAAGCTTCCCAGAACATGGGCCAGTGCCGTTGAGTCAAACATGACCTAACCCCTAGATCACAAACTGTACATCAGACTTGGTGCAGGGAGAGTGCAACCAGAGGCAGCAGGAGACCAAAGATGAAAGAAGGGCAAAGCTGACAGTTATACAAGTTCTAGACTCTGAGTGGGGGCTCCATTCAGGCTCTCAAACCAACTTGGGGAACCCTAAGACCTTTCAAGCCTCAAATTACTGAGCTTGGAGTTTCTCAGTACTCAATCCCACACACACCACCAAGATTCTAACCAATGTGGTTACAGGTTTTCAAAACTCAGACAGGAAACACCAGGTGGCAAGGTGCCTTGTTCCCAGTTTAGTGGGCGAGGGATCAGGAGAATGGAGGTTTCCCCTCTGGAAGCACCAAGGGGCTCGGGAGTCCTTCCTGTTCCGGACTTTAGCTGCCAAGTCCCATTTCCGGTCGGAAGCGGCACAAGACCCTAGACCCACCAATGCATATACCTTTACTAAAGGCACACTTTTGTCACCTTGGGAAAAACAGTAAGATCCTACTTTGAGTCTCACTCATCTTGTTGGCATTAGTTATCTAGGTCTCCTGACAGGTCTGAGAGTATAAAACCAGGATGTAAACAGAGAATTTAGAAAAGTAACCCTCGATGTCTTTACTGGTAGGGCGAGAGTTGGAATGGGACTGCAGCCATTTTCTGTATAAGTCCTGATGGGTTGTTTGTCTGATCCAGTTTCCCATGAAAATGATATTCCTTTCACTGTGGCTTGAAAAACCACCAAGGACAGTGAAGGGTATTCAGGAAACAGCACCTCTTCAGACAGGAAATTTCACGGCGCATTCACAAGCTATCAGAGAATATTGCAGCCGATAAGGACTTCAGACTCCAGACTTCTACCCCTCAGACGCCTGCCTGCCTGCCTGCTCTCCCTCCTCAAGGTGAAAATAGCATCTGATCATCTAGGTGGGTACTTCCACTGCCCTCCACATAACACCAGGGGATTCATGATACCCTCCCCTGCCAGGAGGTGATCTGCTGAAGGAACCGTGTGGGCCAAGAGCCTAGGTTCCTGTAACCATGGATAGCTTCATTATTACATTTTACAGACTGAGCTTTGAGTAAAGGTTCAACAGGTCAAATAAAATTTTTCATGATTTAGTCCAACTCCTTTGTTTTTCATCAATGGGAAAACAGGTCTAGGGGCCAAAGTAAGCTGAAAGGTGCCAGCACTATACACTGACCGGGCATAGAGCAGTCCCAGGCTCCTGTCAAACCCTCAACACCATGTTCCTGGTCCTCATGGGCACCTCAGACCTGGAGATGGATCAGGCCCAAGGCCAGTTCTCAGAGACACCAATGCTCTATTACACTCAGGTTCAAAAAAGAATAAACAGGCACCAGCAGTGGGGTGGAGGTGAGGGGGGAGGGGGGGAAATGACAATGGCAGAACGATCCATAGCAGCATTGAGATCAAATACCCTCTCGGAGTAGCAGACCTCTCCTGTTGTGCCCACTGCTCCCCTCAGCAGTGTATTTCGGTCATCTGCCTGTTCTGCTCCCCACTCTGTCTCTGGTGAATCCTTTCACCCTCCCACACCTCTGGCCTGTACCCCAGCTCTTGTAGAAAAATAAATAAATCTTTAAAAAAAAAAAGAATTATTAAAATTCCCTCTAAGCACTGAGACACCTAAGCCTGGTCACCTAAGTCCCCTCAAGCCTGAAAAGTCCCCAGTTCCACAGTCAGCAGTCACTTGTCACTGTGGCTCTAACTTGATACTAAGGAGTGTCATGTCTCAGACACAGGCAGTAAGGCCTCCACAATCACATCATTTCAATTTCTTTAAAACCATCTATGAGCAGCCTAAAGCCCATTTTCCCCAAGAGCTAGGCAGCAAATGTTTACATTCAAAATTATGTAACTTTTTTATAACAGGAAAGTTCCCAGGTGAACATAAAGATGTTTGATAGTAAACACTGTATCTTCAAATTAATCCCCAGCCAGTATAGCATTCTTTGCAGATTTCTAAAAATAGCACCTGCCAGTACAGCAGAAGCACTTCCTGAAGTTAATTGGGTATCCAGGGTGGAAGGAGGGAGCCTCACAGTACAGGGAGCTCTGTCGCACTCGTTGACTAGGACAGCAAAAAGGGAACTATCTGGTCTACCCAGAAGTGTGCTCGGAAGTCCAAGATTACATTTCCAAGGACGGATTATATCTTCTAACCTTAGCAAAATGAGCTCACAAGAGATCAGATCCAATTTATTTTTCTCATCAGCAACCCTCCGAAGAGGGTAAATGGCTCAGGAGAAGCCACCCAGAACAGATGGGGACATGCAGGTCTGGACAAGATCAACTCTCCATTCACTCAGGACTCGGAACTTTGAAGCCCATCTCAAAAGACGATCCATGGGCCTCCCCCATGGCGCAGCAGATTGGGTGCAGTGCTATGAGGCTGTCCACAGCCTCTGCAGCACAGGTTCGATTCCCAGCCAGCCAGGGAGATACCCACATGGCGCGGCAGACCTCTCCTGTCTCACCCGCTGCTCCCCTCAGCAGTGCTTTCTGTCGTCTGCCTGTTCGGCTCCCCGCTCTGTCTCTGGTGAATTCTCTCACCCTCCCATGCCTCTGACCTGTACCCCAGTTCTTGTATAAATAAAAAAATAAATCTGTAAATAAATCTATAAATAAATAAATAAAAATAACATAAAAAGACGATCCCACAAGTCAAGGCATAGAATGTTCTTTGGAACAGGTGCCATGGAGAACAAATTCACTCACCTGCTGTGCAGCCTTGTCAGCGAGCAACGCAAATTCAACAGACAGGCCTTTCAGAGCTTGTTTAAGGGACCCCCAGGTGCTACTGTTCAGAGTGGCCCAGGAAGGGAGCGGGGTTGTGTCAGACCCTAAAGCACTAGAGAAAAGGAAACACAGGAGAGGAGACACTCAGGGCCTGGAAGCTGACCACACAGTCCAACCTGACACCTCCCTTTCCCTAAACCCAGGGTGGCTTGTGTATCTCTTAACCTAGACCCTTGCTGCTCTGACTGGTCCTCAGGGAAATCTGGGAGTCTGTTAAAAAGGCAAAATCTCATACACACCCCTCTACTGAACCAATTCTGAACAAGCCCCTAGGTGACACGTGTGCACTTGTAGATTTAAGAGTGCAATTCTGGGGGACTTTGGGGCAGGCCAGAGGCCTAGCGAATGTCTCACAACTCTTTCCCATGACCCCAGCAAAGGAAGCATAGGCAGCCATGGGGTCCTTTCCCAAGTCAAATGGATCTTTTTGTAAGTCTAACCTGACAATGGGAAAAATACCATGTAAGAAACTGCAAACAAGTGTATTTCGTCAGTCTGCCTGTTCTGTTTCCTGCTCTGTCTCTGGTGAATCCTCTCACCCTCCCGCGCATTGGCCTGTACCCTGGGTCTTGTATAAAATAAAAAAAATATACATTTAAAAAAAAAAAAGAAACTGCAAACATCTGTGGAAGTGGAATCCATATTTCTCTGCCTAAATTCTCTACCTTTTCCTTCTAAATATGAGCCCCTTCCCTCCAGCCCTTTTCCCTCTTTGGAGGGAATCAGGTCAGATCAAGGGTTATGGTAACAAATGCACTTGCTACTCCAAGCCTGCCTCCAAAGTCTAAAGACCCCTCCCCACTGAGCCCCAACAGAACCTAATGGTCACCTGCCTTAACTCCTTCCCGAATATGAGAAGGTCAGCAGCATTGTCAATGGCCCTTGATGCAATTCGCTCGGCCCGATCTCGAAGTTTATAAAAGCTGTTATAGATATTTCGAATCAGCTCCCGGCTAATAGCAAACTGAGCCTGGACGTCAGCTGGGAGGAAGTCCTGACAGGGTGAGGAGAGAGAAGACTATATTAGAGACATGAAATGTCTTCAAGAAAAGACAACCAACAGAGAGAAACAATCTAACAGACTGAATAGGCAGATGAGACAAGACTCCCAGGTCCCGATGCTACAGAGTCTGCACTGGGCCTTTCTTCTTAGAAACAAAAGCACTGTCACTCACACACTACAAGCGCTAAGCTGCATGTCCTGTGGGATTATGAACACAATGTCCACAGCAGTTTGATCAAACTGGAGGTTCTAACAAAAACACACAAATAATCACCTTCAAACTAGAATTGATGAATGTAAAGTGCTGAAACTCTCTCTAGGTGAGGGGAAGGTGTGCTATATTCTTCATTTATTCCCAAAGAATTAACTTTTCACCAGTGTTAATATCAGCCACATATTAGAGTTTACTAATGTTAATATATTAACTACTATTAACTGCATAATGCTTGAAAGCAGAAAGTTTAGGAAATAAAATGAAGGTAAAAGAGTATGTTTTTGTGTGAAGCAGTTTTGTTTTGTTTTTGAGATGCAGTTTAAGAAGGGGAAAAAAGGGCCTCCCTGGTGGCACAGGCGGTTGAGCACTGCACTGTGAAGCTGTCTGCAGCCTCTGCAACGCGGGTTCGATCCTGGCTGGTCAGCAAGAATCCCACATGAGGAAGCAGACCTCTCCTGTCTCGCCCTCTGCTCCCCTCAGCAGTGTATTTCGTCAGTCTACTGTTCTGTTCCCCTCTCTGTCTCTGGTGAATCCTCTCACCCTCCCATGCATCTGGCCTGTACCCAGTTCTTGTATAAATAAATTTTAAAAAAATCTTTAAAAAAAAGGGGGGGGTGGGCCTCCCCTTGTGGCGCAGCGGTTGAGCGTTGGGTTGCGAGGCTGCCTGCAGCCTCTGCAGCGCCAGTTTGATCCCTGGCCACCAACAAGGGTCCCACAAAAAAAAAAGGGGGGAGGGAGAAAAACTAACAAATTAATCCTTTTTAGGTAATGCAACAACCAATCTCCTGAAATCCTGAAAGTTGGTAACCAAGTCTATGTTCATCTAAGTCACAAAAAACCTCAGGACACTATAAAAGACCTGGTGGGCACTGAGGTCAAACAGAGCTCAGGACAACCAGATCCTGCTGCTTCAAAATTGGGGACCTTGGCACATAACAGCTCTGGGCCAGTTCACTCATCTGTAAAATGAGCATAATGCCTGCTGTTGAAGAGCAACTGAAATGAGGGTTAAATGGGAAAAGCATACAGTGGATCTTAGCAAAATCCCTGGCAAGCAATAGAGGCAAAATAAATATTATTAATTAGTAAGACTGTTATTGCTCTGGTTAAGGGGGGAATAATCAGAATTAGAAAAATACCTTGGCCCGAGTAGCTAGCTTACAATTCATGAATTCGTCTCCAACACACTGAGCTGATTCTTTCAACTTGTTCTGCACATCCTGCAAAAGGAAAAAATAAACAACTTGACCCTCTACTAGCCACAAAAAGAAAAAATCGGTGAGACCAATTAAGAACATAAAAACAAGATGCAGGCCTTCCTAGAGGGAATGTTTCCTTTTACATGAATGTTCCATAATCTCTTTATTGTCTCTTCATTTTTTCCCCATTGACCTTAAACGTTAGGGTGATCTTCCACAGAAAAGACGGCCTGACTTAAGAGCGGCACATGAACCTTCAGCTCTGACAGAGTTTTCTTCACTGAGGGACATCAGTACTTCAGATGGAGGTGGGATTCCCCAGCATCTGTCAGGTCCCATGTGAGGCAACAGACAGGAAAGCTGGGGTCTCCTCCTTCCTGTGAGCAGATCCATGGGACCAGGGCGTGACATTTGGGGTCTCCAGTCTGCCCTCCAAAAGGGGGCCCCATAGCAAAGCCTAGCCTTAAGATATGGTCCCTACAAAGAGCGACAGAAAATAGGCAGAGATTCTAACACAGGACTGCTTATGGATAAAGGGATCTAGAATTTTAGAGATGCCTTAATTATCATCAGTGCCAATGCTCTCTTTTTACCAAAAAAGAAAAAAGAGCCCAGGAACGCCCTATCTGTGCAAAGGCAGGGGAACAAAGCAGCTGAATGCCCCAGAACAGGGTATTGCTGACTCTGAGCCTGCAGCACCTCCCCCACTTTCCTTTCCTATCTTGAGCCACACAGCTCCCATGTCCTGCCACATTCCTCTGTTGGCAGTAAATATCCCTGTTCTAAGGGAAGCTACCCCTCACCCCTGGGTCAGTAGACCTACACTTCCAGCTTACCAGCAGACCAAAGGTCTCAACAAGCAACTGCTGAGTGTCTGGCATGGGTCCAATGAAAGGGGCCGCCCTCTCAAGGAGGTCAAGTGTGAGAAGGAAGCAGCCTCACATGGCTTGGTCTTCCCGCATCTTCCTATAGCAGAGATGGGGGGTAGGGAGGTCCCTGCTCCAGAAGGGCTCCTCTAATGGGGGAGATATATCTACTCCACCAGAGTAGCCCCTTGTCAGAGCCCCTCATCGCCCAGACCCACAGTGAGAGGATTTGTTGGGCAAAACCTCTCTTCCTCCAGATAAGCTGGCAGCCCTGGGACAACAGTGCCTGGCAAGGTGGTTCCTTGTTCCCTAAGCAGGAACGAGGCCTTCGCCTCAGCTCTAATCAGGACTACATGGTGCTCTTTGCAGAGAGAAACTGCCTCTCAGTTCCTTAGATCAACTTATATACAGTGACTTCCCAGGACACAGTCTGTCCTGCAGCTCTGTTAGGGACACCCAGCTTTTGTCTCCAAAGGAACTTGGTGAGACCTGACCTATTTAATGTGACCGCTCACCTCTCCAATGAGACTGCTCCGAGAACCTGCCACCCTACATGCATACACAAAACCCAGCAAAACCAAAACCTCACCGCCTCTTAAAATAATCTTCAACCTGCTATTTGGGAAGGACAGAAATCTAATTGATGTCAGCTACAGGTAAAATAGATCCCCTTCAGGGGGTGCAAACAAAGGGAATAATAGGAGAGCCCCAAAAGAAAAGCAAACCTAAGATGAATGTCAAGGTTTTGGGAACCTGTCAGGGGATATACTTACGGAGCCACCAAAGGACAGGAATAGCTTGAGGACAGCATCCTCAGAGAAGCGGGGATGCCGGGCCACCAGGTTGATAAAGCGCTTCAGAGCTCTCCTCCGGGCCTCAATGAATTCCTTGTCAGCTAAAGACAGCACAGGGTTACCATGAGCCGGGGGTACTGGCACTCTCAGGGAGAGACCTGACTCTCAGCCCAGTGAGAGGTTCTCACTAGGAGTACTGCCTGGGGTGTGCCATACAACACACTAGGTCATTGAATGAAACCCTGGGAGGCTGCAGGAGAAACAGCAACAGAATCCCCAACTCTATGTCCTGCCCCCACAAACACATATGAATTCGGAAACCACTGGCGAAAACCAGAGCCTAGTTGTTTTTTTTCTTTTTAAAGATTTATTTATTTATGCATATAAAAACTGGGGCACAGGCCAGAGGTGTGGGAGGTGAGAAAATTCACCACAGAAAGAGCAGGGAACAGAACAGGCAGATAGACCAAAGTATACTGCTGAGGGGAGTAGCGGGAGAGTCAGGAGAAGTCTGCTGCGCCATGTGGGTAGCTCCCTGGCTGGGGCTCGAACTCGCACTGCAGAGGCTCCGGACAGCTTCACAGTGCTGTGCTCAACCCCTTGCGCCGCCAGAGAGGCCCAACCTATTTGTTTTTACCAAGAGCACTGGGGTTCAAGCTTGAGCCCCTACTTTGATCATGTAAGTTAGACAGACACATCACAATCCCCCTCTGGAGCTTCTCTAAGACAAATGAGGGCTGCAACACAATTACATTCACTCAACCATTATAACTCACTTGGTAATGGAACAATTATTATTGCTTGCCATTCAGGTAAAGTATTTTCACTTCAAGGAGGAAAGAGTATAAATTGATGTACTTATTTTTATAAGTTATTGAAAAATTTAGTGGGATCAGGTTCCCTGGCCCTCTCCTGACCACCAAGCAGGCTCCTGTAGAAGGCCACACTTTCATAACTACTGAGACACATGACGAAAAATATGCAGGCAGTTTCTAGGCTTTAAACACTTTCGATACTTTGATTTTGACGCTTGGATTTTAGTAAGCATTCACCTACCCCAAAACCCTTTCTGATCTCTACTGCCCTTAGCATTCTTTCCCCCTTCAATGTGATGTGAATAATCTGTTCTATGGATTTCACATGGAGCAAGAAGGCAATGGTATCACAGGTTTTGCCCACTAACAAAGTAGAGCGCTCTTGTATTTGGCATGATCTGGTAGGTTATTTCTGGAGTCTGGGATCTTTATTACCATTTTTTTTTTAAAGATTTATTTATTTATACAAGCACTGGGGTATAGGCCAGAAGCACGGGAGGGTGAGAGAATCTACCCGAGACAGAGCAGGGAGCAGAACAGGCAGAAGGACCAAAATACACTGCTCAGGGGAGCAGCAGGCAACACAGGAGAGGTCTGCCGCGCCATGTGGGAATCTCCCCGGCCGGCCAGGAATCAAAAAGGTGCCGCGAAGGCTGCAGACAGCTTCACAGCGCTTCGCTCAACCCGCTGCGCCACCAGGGAGGCCCTACCATTAATTTAAAATGACAGAATTTGTTGCATTCCCAGATTCAAAAAATAAAGTATCAAATCATACCAAATAGGAAAATTCTACTTTTTGATAGTGGGGGGAACCTGTATCAGGTTCTGAGCTAGTAAGTGAACATGAGAGGCAGGGTATTCATGTGCAATTTTGAAAGTTTTCAGAATGCTGTAAACTGGACTGCCCTGTTAAATCTCAATTTAGTTCCTCATAGTTACTTCAGAATCATTGGGGAAATTTAGCAGAATATCAACTGGTCAGGGGCCTCCCGGGGGGCACCGGGGTTAAGTCTCAGCCAGCCACCATAGCATGAGTTCAATCCCTGGCCAGGAAGCTACCCACATGGCGCAGCAGATCTCTCCTGTCTCGCCCGCTGCTCCCCTCAGCAGTGTGTTTCGTCGGTCTGCCTGTTCTGTTCCCCACTCTGTCTCTGGTAATCCTCTCACCCACCCCCCTCACCACTGGCCTACACCCCCAGTTCATGTATGCATAAACAAAAGTAAATCTTGAAGAAAAAATACAAAAACAGAAAAGCAACTGGTCAGCTTTGTGCACTTATCTATTGACCAAGTTTTATTTGATTTGAGAAAAGGACTGGGGGAGAGAAGTTCCAAGTCCTAATAGAAGGTACCTGCCACCTCTGGCTCTGAAACTTGAGGTGAAGCAGGCCAGTGTACAAGGGGCCTGCCAGGACCTGTGATCTCTCATCTACCTGAGGTAATACAGGTGAAGCAATTAAGATGTGGGCAACATGTGAAGATTTTTATCTCCTTGAAGCTGCAGTTCAGACTGCCTACCTTACATTCAGTCCATCTCTTCCCGAGATCACCTAACAGTCTGATGGAACCATGATCAAGGTTCATGCCACTCTGCAAAAGCAGGCAAAGCAAACTGCCTGCATTACCACAACCAGCACTGTTGGGCCCCACGCCCTCCAGAAAGGGAACTGGGGTGCATTCTTTCACTCTTGTACAAGTGGGGAGCTCCCTACATGACACCTGGCCCTGCTATTTCAGACCTGGGCTCTAAGCCACAGCTGCTGCCTACCATTCCACTAGAGGATGCAGAAGAAGATAGAAGACGGGTCATGACTCGGGACCACAGCACCCTTTCTCACCCCCGCCTCTAGCAAATCCAGTTTTACCTCCCAGCATTCTCTTGGGGGGAAGGGCTGGCACCATGCGGTATGGGAACTTCTGCAGCAGCATTTCATGGAAGACCACAAAATCATTGTACCGCCTGTACACAGAGGACTTGAAGCGCTGGAAGAGAAAACACTCAGGGTTCAATGTGATGGCAGCAACTATCACATTTCACGATCTCCCCTAACCTTATCTTTCCATCACTAGATAGAACACATGGAAATACTATTTCTCAATCTCTCATCTTCTCCCACCAGGCCTTTACCAAAAGGAAAATATCCTATTTCCTATAGAAATCCTTAGATTATGGTAATACAACTTCTTAACACTGTATAGCTCTAGCTTCATTTTCAACTATGTTTATGGATCTTCTGAAAGAAACAAGACTCAAGAGCTTTCACCTTCTAAGGTGGGCATCCATCCTGCCCTTGAAAGGTAATACATCAGAGTAATGTATTTCTTCATTTAGGACAGGTCATCAACAAACATCTTCAAATACACATGTTCAAATAATGTTGAAACAGTATCACTGCTGCATCCTATTACAGACCCAGCTCTCTAAAAGCAGACCAAACGCTGAATACGAAGACTGAACTTAGTGGGGCAGATAGCTGACAGAATGAAATTTCCTGCAAATGCCACTCTAAGACCAATCATTGATAAACCCTCAGGTTCCACCAGGTTATCGTCCTGTTCAATCTGAATCTAACATGAAAGCTTACAAGAGAAACCTGCAAGAGCAGGTGAAAAGTAAATATGCTACACTGATTACTAACTCATAGTACTAAGTAAAAGAAGCCAGCCTGAAAGGCTCCATACTCTTTGATTCCAACTTTATGGCATTCTGGAAAAGGCAAGAGTGGGGAGACAATAATAGGATCAGTGGTAGCCAGAGGTTACGAAGAAGGAGGGATGAACAGGTAGAGCTCACAGAATTTTCAGGGCAGTGAAACTACTCAGTATGATGCTATAATAATGGGTCCATGTCATACATTTGTCAACCCCAAAATGTACCACACCAAGAGTGAACCCTAATGGAAGCTAGAACCTTTGGGTGATAATGATGTGTTAATATCATTTCACTGGAGGTAACTAAACATCCTTCTCTGGTGCGAGATGTTGATAGTGGGGAAGGCACAAGTGGGAGGAAGAGGGTAGGTCACAAGTATATGGAAATTATGTGTCCTTTCCACTCAGTTCTGCCGTGAATCTAAAACTACCCCCCAAAAAACAAAGTCTATTTAAAAACTTAGCTATACTATATGAAGGAGAAATATGAAGTCAAGTGTGTCCACCTCCATTCTAGACAGTGGACAACATGCCACGTCTGTACTTACTGCAAACGCCGCCAGAACAATGCACAGGGCACCAAGAGAAAATGTAGAGCCCAAGAGGCTTCCCCATGTGTGCAAACATTAGTGGGTGTCTCTTTACACACAGTTCAGAAACTGACCTGGCAAAATTAACCTTCTTCTAAAAATGGCCACTATCAGGCAACTAACTTACATAAGAAATGGGTGTTTCAACGAGATGGGAAAAAGGTCAAGCTGCACTGGTGGAGACAGCAGCTTCTACCACACTCAGCCCTGAGGAAGGAAGCCCAGAAGAAAGACCTGTGCAACTTCACCTCTCCCGCCTGAACTTGCTTCTCACCTCCTGCCAACCGAGACTCAACAGGCCAGAACCATAGTGACAGAAGACTCCAACACTGTCCTCAAAATTATTCCAAGATTCCTATCCTCTCTGACCTCTGCATTCTCCCTCGGCAATGACGCTGATACGCTTAGTCACAGGCTTAGGTCACTGCAGCCTTAAAACATAAAAATTCTGTGATTCTCAAAGAACACACAGCAAACAGGCATACTGGGGGAACAGTTGTTATGTTCTGAAAACAAGGTTTTTTACCTGAATGGTGAATGTTCAGGCTTTCCAGCAAAAGCCCTGGTAATGCTGTCTGCCCCCTGCACAGGCATGTGAATTCCCCACAAACAAGATGAAGCAAGATAGGGAAATATAAAGCATGAAGGGGCACAGATCAATGCCACTAACGCCACATGGTTCTACACTTCATGGGCCACCCTAGTGCCAGGTGTCTGATTAGCTCTGTGGAGTGTGCCTAATAGGAAGGCAGCACTATTAAAGGGGATTAGACACTTGCCGATTCTGCCCACAAATCTTATTGGCCATTTGGAGTCCATATTCTACAAAGTCCACAGTCTAATCCCCAGCGATTTCCCACTGTCATACAGCCACCACCAAGCTGGCCTGGCAGAGTTTATGCTCTGCTTCTTAAGCAGCAGATCCCAGGGCATAAGGATGGGGCAGCAGCTGAGGTGGATGAGGGTGTGGCAGAAGCAAAGCAACATGCAGGGAGCACACACTTTGGAAAAGTTCACTGGGCAACTTGGCGCTCTGCCATCTGGTTTGGGAATCACTTTGAAGCTGAGCACCCTAGCTAGCTCTCTGTCCTCTCAGTCCTTCTGCCCCAGATCCCACCCCTCCCTTACCTGGCTGGAAACCTCATATTCCACATGCTTCAGGAAGAGTCCCTTCTTCTCAGGAATGAGTTCCACCTGCACGGTGTCCCTGGCCAGCAGCTCCTGCAGGGTGTATGAGAGCAGCAGTGGGTTCCCCTGTGGCATCTGCATTCGATTGGGATCCGGGTTCCTTAACTTGTTGACCTGAGGTGTGAGTACGTCTGGAAAACAGGAGGAGAATGCCCACTAAAAACAACTGCTCAGAAAGTGTAGACTCCTCCAGCCTGGCCTCTCTCTGCTCCGCTAGCTCAGCACAAGGACTCTGGCCAGGTCCCGCAGCCCAATCCCAGACCTGCCAAGTCACACTGCAGTCTTGGAGTCATGTTCAGAGGCACCTCCTCTCTGGGCCTGACAATCACCACACTGGGGCCTCCATGCTTTGAACCAGCAAGTATACCCCCCATTTCTAAAACTGTCAAATCTAGCTGTCAACTTGGGGGAGGAAAAAGAAGTTTATGTGCAAAAAGAGTCCTTCTCTCTAGAGTAAAGGGGTTAAAACAAAAGAAATTAGCTGTAAGATTTCCTAGATGTTCCCATGTTTCTCCAATCAACACATATTACCTACCTTCATCTGCTGATGCCATCATTCTGATCTGCAAACAGTCTACCTGCCTGCTTAGAACTAGGCTTCCTGATCATACAAAGCAAAGAATCAATCCCTAAAACACTGAAGCTTCCTTACAGACAAGAAGCCACCCAGGCAGCATTCAAAGAACAGCAAAAGACAACTCAAAGAGATTTTATGCCTGACAACTTGCAAACAAACAAGGAAATCATGTGAAAAAGTGAATTTGGTTTTTAGTATAGAGAGGGTTCTACAAAGATGATGTTCTTTCACAGTTAAAAAGTAAAGTATCCCACAGGGGGAAAATCTCATTCCAGTTAACACTTCTATAAATAAGTGCAACAAAACATAATTTTCTTTTTTCTTTTCTCTTTAAATGTTACACAATGTGTTCTACAGTATGACTTATTTCTTAGGGTAAGTCTTCTGGTGCAAGATTCTATTGCATTCTAAAACAAAATTAATGACTAGGTGACTTCACCTGTGAAATTACTCAGCAGTTTCCAATTTAAAATGTAGCTGCCTTTGATTGACCTTAAAGCTCAGGAAAAAAATAAAACTAAGGCCTTAATGCTTACTGGGGAACCCCCACAAAGCCTCATTAAAAACTCCACTCAAAAACCACAACCTGCTCTAACACAGTGAGGTCGCCTTCACCAGGGTATTGGAAGACACTGTGAGCTTTCTATTGTAGGTTTCATCTGTTCCTTTTTAAGTTGACTTTCTTGTATTGTTGATATAATGTCCATAATATGCAGAGCAGCATATGCTACTTATTAAAATGTGTATAAAAGACATGTATGTGTGTATATGAATGTACACGAGTATGGTATGCATGAGTGTGTGAGTGTATATGTGTGTGAATGTGCATGAGTGTGTGTGTACATTATTGTCCTGGGTCATGAGTGTGTATGTTGAGTATGTGTGTATATGGGGATATTTGTATGTGTGAGTGTTCCTGTACGTGAGTGTGTGTATATGTATGAGTGTGCATACACATGTATTGAGTTGTGTATGTGACTGTATGTGTATGAATGTGTATATAGGTATATATGAGAATGTTTGTGCACTAAGAGTTCTCAAATACCTAATGGCAAAAATGTATGAAGACCACAGCAACCAAGTCATCTCAAGAACCCAGCCTCCTGTCTGTATAAAAATATTTTGATAGCCTTAAAACTGTGTTTACTGGGCTTCCCTGGTGGCGCAGGCGGTTGAGCGCAGCACTGTGAAGCTGCCTGCAGCCTCTGCAGTGCCAGTTCGATCCCCGCCAGCCTGGGAGCAACGCACATGGCGAGCAGACCCCTCCTGTATCGCCCGCTGCTCCCCTCAGCAGTGTGTTTCATCAGTCTGCCTGTTCTGCTTCCCGCTCTGTCTCTGGTGAATCCTCTCACCCTCCCACAAATCTGGCCTGTACCTCGGTTCTTGTATAAAATGAAATAAATCTTTAAAAAAAAAAAAAACTATGTTTACAATCTCTTTATGGGCCACATATATCCTCAATGAGCCAAAAGCTGTTAGGTAAAGTACCCTCTCTGGGGAATACCATGAGCTAAGACAGGGTTCGGGCATTAATTCATCTATCCATTCAGCAGACAGTTACTGTCCGTACACCACTGCCGGCACAATCTCTAAGTATCAAAACTCTGGGGACAAAGAGGGTTGTCATAGTACCCTGAGAATTAGAGAAAAGAAGCCTCAAGACAGGCCTAGAATGTAAGCTCCAAAAGGGGAGGGATTTAAGTGACTATTTTTGACCACATACCAGCTGCTAGAAGTCAGGTAAGCAGCAGAGGCTCAAGATATGCTTGATGAGTGAAAATTTACTAATATTTGTTCTATTTTTCAGGAATGAACAACAAAGCATCTCTGGGGGGATGCAAATGCTTATTAACTAGAGCATAAAATAGAAAAACAAAAGTAATAAAATTAAAAGGATATTGGGGAAGAACATTTTTATCAGCAGAAATAATTGAAAATTATATATCTGATAAGGGACTTGTATCTGTAATACATAAAGATGCTTATAACTCAGTAAAAGGCGGGAGAGGGAAAGGATCCAATTTAAGAATAGGCAAAAGATTTGAAAAGACATTTTTCCAAAGAAGAATCATAAACGGCCAGCAAGCACATGAAAAGATGTCATTAACTGTCACAGAGCGCAAATTAGGTCACAGAAAGATAGGCAGCATTATTCATAAGAGTCAAAAATCGGAACAACCCAAATAGCCATCAACTGAGGAATGAATTTTAAAAATTTTTAATATTTAAATTTTAAAATTTAAATATAATGGAATATTATTCAATCATAAAAAGAAATGGGATACAATTCATGCTACAACATGATGAACCTTGAAAACATCATGGTAAATAAGAGCATTAAAAAAAAGGCGGGGTGGGCCTCCCTGGTGGCGCAGCGGTTGAACGCTGGGTTGCGAAGCTGCCCGCAGCCTCTGCAGCACCAGCTCCATCCCCGGCTGCTCCCCAGACGGTCCCACATGGCGCATAGACCTCTCCTGCCACCGGCTGCTCCCCTCAGCAGTGTGCTTTGGTCCTTTTGCCTGCTCTGCTCCCCACTCTGGCTCTGGTGGATTCTCTCACCCTCCCGCGCTTCTGACTGTACCCAGTGCTTGTACAAATAAATAAAATAAAAATAAATAAATAAATAAATAAATAAAAATAAAAAATAAATCTTTAAAAATAATAATAATAAAATAAAAATAAATAAATAAAACGTGGGGTGATTCCAGCCAGGCAAATTTATAGAAGCAGAAAGATGAGTGTTAGCCTAGGACCAGAGAGGGAATGGGATAGGGAAGGGCTGCAGAGGAATAGGGGTTTGTTTACGGGATTAGAAAATGCTCTAAACTGATTAACATGCACAATTGAATATTATAAAAACCTCTGTATTGTACACATTAAATGAGTGAATTATATGGTATGTAAATGTTATCTCTATAACTTCTTAAATATAAAGGTTAGGTGACATCCTTAAGAATGGCAGAGTAGGCTGCCTGCTCTGCTCCCCGCTCTGGCTCTGGTGAGTTCTCTCACCCTCCCGCGCTTCTGACTGTACCCAGTGCTTGTATACATAAATAAATAAAAATAAATCTTAAAAAAAAAAAAAAAAGAATGGCAGAGTAGGGACTCCCCGATGGTGCAGCGGATCGGGCACATTGCTGTGAAGCTGTCCGCAGCCTCTGCAGCGCGGGTATGATTCCCAGTCAGCCAGGGAGATACCCACATGGTGCAGCAGACCTCTCCTGTCTCACCCACTGCTCCTCTCAGCAGTGCTTTCGGTCCGTCTGCCTATTCTGCTCCCCACTCTGTCTCTGGTGAATCCTTTCACCTTCCTGTGCCTCTGGCCTGTACCCCAGCTTCTGTATAAATAAATCTTTAAAAAAGAAAAAAAAAAGAATGGCAGAGTAAAGAATTCAAAAATCCTCTCTTCCACAAAAGCAATGAAAACAGTGACCAAAACTGTCAGGTTCAATTTTTCTCAGAACACTAGAAATTGACCAAAATTTTTAACAATCTAGGTATAATTACTCTTGTAATTAGTTAAATTAAAATGAGGTCACACTGGGGTAGGGTGAGCCCTTATGCAGTATGACTGAAGTTCTCAGAAGAGAAGACCACATTAAGACACAGACACACAGGAGAAAGCCAGGTGACACCGGAGGCAGAGACTGAGGTGCTACAAGATCAAACCAAGAACTATTCGTCACCACCAGGAGGTAGAAGCAGCAGGAAAGATTCTCCCTTTTATGTTTCAGAGGGAGTGTAACCCTGACCATGATGATGGAAACTTAGAGTAGAAAAATTAAGGATGGAAGGTCTCACAAGGACATACACCAGAGGTGGGGGTAGGGATGGTTAATAAATCATAACTTAACCAGTTATAGAAGGTTCCAGGAATCTGAGGTGGGTCAGGAAAAATGATCAGCCAGAGGTGGAGGCAAAGAGGGCTATTGATCTAAGAAAACCAACCCAGTCTGATCCCAAGGTGATAATTTCCATAATAATTCCATCAAGGAACATCATAAAAGGATACCCCCTGCCCTGGCAAAATGCAGCTCTTGCCTTTTAAGACTGCCACCTTTAACTAATCAGGTATCTCTGTCCTTGTTCTCCTTTCCTCAATAAACTTGCCATGTGCAGGTAAATGAGAATGTCTGCTGAATTCTTTCTCAGAGGGACCCAAGAACCCCACACACCAAACCCCATCATCTGAACTCCATTAACCACACCTTGATTTCAGACTTCTGGCTTCCAGAACTGTTAGATTAAATTTCTGTTGTTTCAAGACACCAAATTTGTGGTACTTTTGTTGTAGCAGTCACAGGAAACTCATACATACAAGAGACTTTACAGAAAAAGTTCAGAAACGTCACTGAATAAACAACAAAGGTAAACAGCAATGCCTGGAGAAGGAAGGAAAATCTGATTTCCAGAATAGCCACATTAAATATAATTTAAATTGTCCAGTTTGTAAGACATGCAAAGAAACAGGAAAGTATGGCCAAATACAGAGGATAAACTATCAAAATTGTCCCCGAGGAAGCCCAGACATTGAACTTATTAGACAAATGCCTT